TAGTGAATACCTCATGATTGTCTTGACTGAGCAATTTCAGAAAATACTGGTTTAATGGAAATAGTGCTAAGTAAATAAATGAGTGAGAATATAGGAATGATGATCCAGAGAGTTATCTTTTAATCTTAAAACACTAATATTTTCAACATTTCCTGAAGTATATGTAGGATACTAATTACACAAGGTATTTGATGCAAAATGAGTTAATTCTCCTGATTTGTATTTTTCCCCCTCTTATTTGTATTTAGGAATGTTGAATGAATATTCTTTGGAGATTAGTTAAGCAGCCGTTAGCATATTGAAGGGTATGAGGAGGTACAATGTACATTGTATGATGTACAATGTATGAGAATGTGAGTTGTGCATTGTCATACCCTTATGAAATCTACTAAAGTATTAGAACAGATTTGACAGATTTACTTGCCACCGTACCCCAAAACATTTTCTCACTAATTCCATAGTAATTCACTGAGGAATATACCCTTACACAGTAAGAAATATGTACATACATGGAGTTCAGTTGATGGTCTTATACTACTGCAACAGTGTACTCTACTCACATATGTCTTTAAATGTTTGAACTAAACTGTGAAAATGCAGTTAAATGATCTTTCTCGCCCCTCTTCTGAGTCACAAGACAATTTATTCTTTGCCATTTACTGGGACAAATATATTAAGTGCCTATTGCTATAAATCATTAACTGTTATAAGGAAATATTTTCACTTCATTTTCTTTTTACGTCTACCTGATTTAAAAAGTATATATTCTGTTTCTATTTATTTGAGCTCCCATACTGATCTATAGAGTAACTCAGGCTTTTTGGTTGTAATCTGGTTGTATTATGACTTAGCTGTAGCTTAATTTTTAAAAGGCACCATATGATACAAATAAATTATTGGCATACGGTCCCTATTATAGGAAATGATTTGCTTTCAGTAAATGTCATTTTGAGTAATATTTAGGTCACCTTCCACTCTGTTGAGACAGGGGTCTTGCTATGAAATCCAGGCTGGCCTTGAACTCACTATGTATCCCAGGCTGGTCTTGAGCTTGTGACAGTCCTCCTGCCTGTCTGTTTCCTGCGTGGTGGGGTTACAGGCATGTGCCACCACACCCAGCACAACTTCCACGCAAGCAGACGTGGATGTCCCCTTACCAGTCACATGGTAGCAGGAATGGCTAACCTGGAGAGCTCAGGTGTTGGGCTCTGGAAATGCCTCCACACGTAGAGTGTGTTATCATGTCGAGCACACAGTTTGGACTGCACACCCAGAAACGCCTTCCACTTCAGCCTACTTAGCCGCTGTGATTTTTACTGGTAGGGCTAGTTTCATTCTAGTGGGTTCGTGAACTTGTTTACTCTCACATGTGCCCTGGTTTTACCTTTTACATACGCTCTGTCACTGAGCCACCTCTGCCTTTACATATATTAATAAAACAAGTTTTGGAGGTTCATCTTCTAGTTACCAAGTTAGTATCAGGTAAATATTACCCAGAAACTTTAATTATGATAAATTTAAACCAGAAAGTCAAAGTTGAACTTGAAGAACTATACAAGCAAATAGATGAGAGTGTTCAGAAGGAAAAGTACTGGCTTGATCCAAGAATGCACATGCATCTATTTACAGTCAAAAGTCGGGCATATTATATAGCATACAGAAGTAGTTAAGTTAATTCTTTTAATGAAAAAGACTTGTGTTTTCCTCCTTAAAACCATTCCTAGTCCTCCTGAGTTGTGGGAGTAGTTTTCCTACTTGTATTGATATAACATGTTCCGTGGAATTTCAAAAGAATATTGAGAAGATGTAACCATGTCCAAGACCCAGCTAGCACTGGAAGGGAAATTTCTCCGACATTTCTCTATTGGCAGTATTGCAAATTTATTTTTGGCCACTCATTAACCCAGACATTCATTTTCTCCCCTCCCCTCCTCTTTCTTTCTTTCTTTCTTTTTTTTTTTTTTTAAAGGGGGAAAAGTTTATTTAGCTCACAGTTTATAGAGGTTTCAGTCCATAATTGGCTGGCTCCAAGGCAGGGTGGCAGCAGTTCATGGCTGCAGAAGACAGCAGCAGCAAGGGTCAGGGGAGAGAGAGCAGACATTGTTTCAAGAAAGGAAGTTTTCAAGTTTGTCTATCCTAGCACACCTTAGTAATTGGGGACTTTTTGTTGTTTCTGCTTTTTGAGACAGGGTCTTGCTGTGTAATGCAAGCTGCTTTAAACTCACTGCAATGCTCCTGTCTTAGCCTCTTTGAGTGCTGGGATTACAGATGTGGGCCGCCATGCCTGGAAGGATCACTGATGTAATACAGGGGAAAAAACAGATGATGCAATAATCCCTCCCCAACTTCTCCTTGAGAGTCAGTAGGGTTAATCAAGGTCATTACCGCAGTTCTTCCATTTCAAAAACTACAGTTTTTTCTTTCCCTGCCGGCTACACACCTACATCTCTGCAATGATAGAGCTCAGTTTTTCTCCTGCTCTTGAGATAAAGGGTGAGATAGAGATAAGGTGACCCAGTGTATCAACCGATACATACATACATAATACATAATACATACATAATAGAATTGTTAACTCTACTTTGTCTCATGTGTAAGAAGAACTCTTTGGAGTAATAAAATGCTTTTTATTTGGGATGAGAAGATGATTTGAAATACAAGCTAGGAACTCACTTGCTAGTATATTGGAGAAAAATGTCTTAAAATAGAAGATTTTTGGCATTTTTCTTTTTCAAAACCAAATTTATAAAACTCTCTGGAAATACATCTTAAAATGTTGATGGATCACTTGAAGATTTCATTGTGGAAATCAGATTTCTACCTTGATGAGAATCTGTAGGGTATATTCTACGTGGATTGGTTGGTTGTTTATTTATTTATTTATTTTGCCAAAACATTTAGACCCAAAGGGTTGTATATTTATTATTTGTTGTGCTGAAATTGAGCCTAGGACCTCTTGAGTGTTTAGTAAGTCTCTAACACTGAGCTTCATTCCCACCTTGGCATGCATGGCTTAAAATGTTAGATTTAATTATATGTAAAACATATACGTGGGCCATGGAAAATATTATTTGAATCTTGCCTAAAATAACAATATTGTAAAATTTTAAAATCTGATGTTTATTCTGGACAAATGTACAGGTACTTTTATGTGGTTTGTTCCCTTTATCATAATTGGAAAACAATTTAAGTTTAATTAGAAGCTGGTGAAAATAATATTACAGTCTTTTCCAATTGTTCACAAAGTCTCTGATCTCTATTTATTTTGTTCCCTCAGACACATTCAGGGACGCCAGATGTAATCCTCAGTGTTTCAAGAGATTTAATCTTTAAGGAAAGTGGAGCTTGGGGTCTTTTCTATATTTAGCCCTTAAATGCTTTTAAAGCCTCGAAAGTAAGTAAGTGATTGATTATGAAATGGTGGATTAGATTAGGAACTTGGTTTATTGCTACTAATTTTATTTTATTTTAGATTGCTGAAAAAATAAATAATTATAAAAAGTTTAGTCATTTTATTTTAAAGCCAGATTGACATATCTGCTAGTAATAATGAGCTGCCATTCTAATATATTCCTTTGTCTTTAAAGAGGAAATTAAACTCATGCCATGAGCCCTGAGTCATCTTATGGAAATGCATAGTCCAATGTGTAGTGATCTTTTTAATTAATTCTTTATTTGGGGGGCGAGTAATTGAATTCAAGCTGGAGTTGAACTTGGGGAGCACTGAGCTATGTTCCCATCCATTTGGTTTGTGCGTGTGAGCATGTGGGGTACTGGGATTTACCTCAGAGCCTTTTCACTGAGCTGCATCCCTAGTCTTTTTCAAAATCTTTATGTTGAGACAGGTTTGCAGTAAGTCACTCATTTTGGGTCCTCCTGCTTCAGCTTCCATGAGTGTTGTGATTGCAGGCATGTGCCTCACACTGGCTTCCTTTTTATTTTTGAGACAGTTCTCTTAATTGCCCAGACTGGCCTCGCACTTGTAACCCTCTGATCTTCAGCATAACTAGTAGCTAAAATTACAGAAGTATACATTTGTGTCTGGCTTTACCACATTTTTCAATGTTGTAAAATACATGTAATACACAATTTACTATTTTAACCTTTTTTTTTTTTTTTTTTGGTACTGGGAATTGAACTCAGGACCTTGTGCTTGCCCAGTAAGCGCTGTGCCACTGAGCTATATCCCAGCACCTATTTTTACCTTTTTAAGTGCAACATTAGGTGACATTAGTACATCCTCAATGTCATACAGCTGTTACTCTCCTCTGCTTCCTAAATTTCTCTTCACCCCCACAGCAGCTTTATACTCTTAGGCAGGAGTACCCACGCCACTCTGTACCCAGCTCCTGTTAAACCACTAAACCACCTCCCATCTGTCTAAATTTGCCTTTTCTCAATATTTTATATGGAATCATACAGTAGTTTTTGCTTAGTGTCTGGCATGTTTTCAAGTTTCATCCATGTTGTACTATGTATCAGAATTGCATTTTTTAAGTAACTGAATAATAATCCAGTCTATGAAAATAAGATGGGGTTCAAAAAAAGAAAATAGGGGCTAGGGATTTAGCTCAGCGGCATAAGCACCTGCCTTGCAAGCAGGCAGTCATGAGTTCGATCCCTGGTACCGATAAAAAGGAAAAAGACAAAAAAAAAAAAAAAAGTTACATTCAAATAAATAGTACTAAAAAAAAAAAAAAAGAAAGAAAATAATAACTCAGGCCTTTATATGTCAAGATTTTATAGTAATATTCTTCAAAATAACCAAGAGGTAGGAATAACCCAACTGTCCTCCAGAAGATACACAAATAAATTGTTGAGTGATATGGTAATTTTTAAAGAATGTGATCTTTTTAAATAATACTTCTCTTTCATTTCTGTTGCTTAAGCTTTTCAGTTTTTTGCTTATTTCCTTGCTCACTTTTGTTGCTGAATTTTTAAAAAATACTTGTTTTGAGCATTCATTTTTTTCTTTTTTTTTCCAATTGTTTGTTTTTCAGACCCGAGTCAGAACTCCATCACAGGGGAGCACAGCCAGCTCTTAGGTACGGTATTGCTGTGGGAATGGACTGTCTAAAAAGCCACCCTTACCTGCTTGTATTAGCATATGCTACTACTTCCTTGGCTGTTTTTGCCCCCTCTTCCTACTTTTTACTCATCAACTATTTTCCTGCCGTTTTTTGTTTCCAATTTGCTAATCGTTAGCTAAGTACTGCCATAATTGACAATTAACATTCAATTTAGTTACTGCATTAAAATCTAATTTTGCATGTTGTATGGTTGAAAAATAATTATAGAATTTTTTCCAAGATAATTTTGTAAAGAAAACATTACAAGATTCTGTAGTATTTTGGACTTTGTCCCTATTTTTCTGTGTTTAATACTTTTCTTGGCCTTTTGTTCACTTTGATTTTAATTTGGGGGGGGTACCAGGGATCAAGCTCACGACCTTGTGCTTGCCAGGCAGGTGTTTATGCCATCTAACCTAACCGGCCTAAAACCTTGTCCCTGATTTTAATTTCTAAAAGTACTTCATAAATGGCACGGCCATAGGTAATCCATAGAAATCAGTGCCTCTATTTCTTACATGTAAAATGAGTTATGGAAGTGAATTGATTTCCCCTAGATACTGCTTATTTAAATTGCAATAAACTTACCATTTGACAGGAATTTTACAAGTTCTCACAGCAAATTTATAAAATGTAAAAGTAAAGCATACTTTGATTAAGAATCTACACAATAAAGAGCTATGTATGTGAAAGAAAGTGAAAGTCTTTAAAAGTATCTTTTTTTAGTACCTCATCTGCATGCCCCAAAATACTTGCTATTTATTGGGAATTCTAGAAAATTTTACTGTTTTTTTCTTTTTATGTCAATGGGATTATAATATACAGACTCTTCTATTCTATTATATAGACTTTTTTTTCCCCACCAGTGCTGGGGATCAAAACTACAGACTGTCTTTTTTTACTTAACATTTTATCTCAGGACAGTTTATCCATACCTAAAGATCACCTCATTCCTTTGTGGTTGAATAGTATTCCATTGTGCTCCTTCACTGTAATTTTATTCAGCCTTTGTATTATGAGCATTTACATTATTTTATACATGTTTTTGCGGCACTGAGAATTTAATCCAAGACCTTTATACTATGCCTATCCTTTTTTTTTTTTTTTGTAAAGACAATTTCTTGCTAAGTCAGTAAGTTGCCCAGGCCAGGCTCAAACTTGAGATCCTCTTGCCTCAGCCTCCCAGAATGCTGAGATTACAGGTATGCACCACTGCACCTGCCTTGTGTGCATTTTGAGTATGCATTGCTGAACTTCTAGCTGTTGAATATATGCAGAGAGGTTGCAGAGAAAGGTATCAGAAGTCCAAAGCAGGGGAAGGTACTTCATATGGCTTGTTTGCTTATAGAAGCTTCAGAGTATTGCCTGAGAACATCATTTTTGTTCTTTGTTGAAACCTTAGAAGAGTCCTTGAGTTAATGAGAGGAGCTAATTAGATCTTAACTCTAATTCTTTTGAGTGTGTGTCTGTTAGAGCTGTACCTAACATCCTAGGCATCCTAGGCAGAATATTTGTTAGGTAAATGATGTAACATAAACTTGGAGGTCTGGTCACCAGGATGCAAGGCTTGTGGTATTGGGGCTATCATTCTCTTGTCTGTCTGTTTTGTCCTTGGTGCTAGGAATCAAACCTAGGACCTGGCATATGCTAGATGAGTGCTCTACTATTGTTATAAAATCCCAACACTGCTGGGAGTAGTGGTGCACACCTGTAACTCCAGTACCCAGGAGGCTGAGACAGGAGAATCACCTTGAGTTCAAGACTGGTCTGGGCTACATAGTGAGTTCAAGGCCAGCCTGAACTCCCTGTCTGCAAAAGAAATCAATTTCAGCCTATTACACTGTTATATTGAATAGCTCATTTATATTACTCAAATTTAGTCTTTTTTTTTTTTTTTTGACTTTTCCTTTTTTTTTATTGGTACCAGGGATCGAACTCACAACTGCCTGCTTGCAAGGCAGGCGCTTATGCTGCTGAGCTAAATCCCCAGCCCCTCAAATTTAGTCTTTATAAAAATTTCATGTTTAAATCAGGAATGGCTAAAATTTCATGAAAATCATAAGATTTTTGCCAAACTATGAAAAATATTTTCATCCCCTAAATTACTGCTTCTGTCTATGAAAAATACATGATTGGCAGAGCAATTTGAGAGCAGTTCATTATGACCAGGAACATAGGTAGTGGTAGTCGGGGAAGGCATTAGCCAGTTATTTTATGTGGGTAGTTAGGAGATGATACAACTCAGTGTTATTAAATTGAACTAAAATAGTGAAATAATTATTTTTTTCCTGTATTTGTAAACATCTTACTGTTTCTCAGAAAGGCCACTGGTAGCTTGAATTAAAATCTTCCCAGCTCCTGGGGCTGGAAGTGTGTAGCTCAGTGGTAGAGCACCTGTATAGCACACTAGGCCTTGTGTTCAATCGCTTCATTGGGCAAAAAGGTCTCCCCTGCTCTGTTTGAAAATCTCCTGTAGGGTAAGTTGGCCTGATAGATAAGAAGCTGGTTCAATTACCTTACCTGCTGAATTCAATTTATAATAGCATATTTCAGACTTTTCTTGCCACATTGGATGTATAATAGTATCTTTCAGACCTGCTAAATGCATTTCCTGTCAACAAGGTGCAGTTATTTTAATGTATTTGCTGTTCTCACTCACTCATCAGGTCTCTTGGAAAATTCAGGATTAGACCTAAGAGATGTAGGGCAAAGAGAAACTGTTGTTATGATAATGAATCCAGTTCTGTACTCAGTGATAGGGTTTTCAGTACGATAAAAGAGAATATAAAATAAAACAGCCTTTATTCTAAGGACTCGGAGAGAACTCCATGATCCCCAGGGCCTGGCTTTCTCTGCTGGAAACATGGGGCATGGGATATACATATAATTTCCAATTGGGGTGGCGCTTAGGGCGGCATTGCTGACGCGCTAGCAGCCAATTGGAATTTTCTTCGTGTGCTAGCAGGAGCTGGGGAAGAAGCAGGAAGTGGTAGGCATTCCCGCTTTGGCCTTCTAGCTAGTTAGACCACTGCCATAATTTCTACTGAGGCAAAACCTTTCACTTAGAATATACGAACTTTTTCCTGTTTGTTATGGGTGTGATTTTCAATTTAAAAATTTAAAAAGTAAAAAAAGTGAGCAAACAGACAAGGAGTCCTGACATTTCTACAAGAAGTTTTACCAAACATTCAAGGAAAAAGAATCCCAAACTTCTACAAACTCAAGGCATACCAATTAAACACTATCTCTGAATCAGTTTGAGGTACTCATAGCCTTACCAAAACTTAACAATGCCAGTATGAATATAGTCCAGTTTTACTCTGAGCCTAAAAGAATAATTTGAGATTTGTCTTGTACCTCACGTATAGCTTAAAATAATTGACAAAAGCCAGCAACATTACAAAAATAATAGCAATACATCAATAAAGTTTTTATAAACAGATATTTGGTATACTATTTTTTCTGTTTTATAGGAAAAAATGGCAGAAGTGTAGCTCAGAGTGTGTGCTTACTTTTTGTAATGCCCAGGGTTTAATCCCTAGCATCCATTCCCATGTACCCTAAATGCACCATAAAAACAAAAATATGAATTGTGGAATAGAACCAGTTGTTCTGTCAATTTGCATTTGAATTATGCAGCAAAACACCAAAAGCTTCCCAGTAATATCAGTATTGTTTGGTTAGTAAAATGAGAAAACAGAGACACAGTAGTGATTTTTAAAACTCAAAGTGTTACCAAAGCCAGTCTTAGCAGGTGTCCCTCACAGGGCTCTTCTTAGGATTCTGCATAATCCAAAAAGAGTTCAACAACTAGGATTTGGTTCTTAGTTCACGGAGAATAAATACTGTTTGTTATTTGGAAACCCTAGAAGTTGTATTCCATGTGGTATTTCCTGGAGTCAGAGTAGTGATCCAGACTACCAAAGGCTGTATGCTGAAGCAGCCTGGTTCCAAACCACAACACCAAGCCAAGAATTGATTCGCACCTTTGAATAGAACTACCGTCTAATCTCATACATTTCAGTATAGCAACACCTAAAGAGATTTGTTCCTTATATGGAAAGCCTTGACCTTTAACCTATTCAAGTCATGATTGACCTGGAACTGTATGGGCCTCCCTTTTGTTTTTGTTTTTGTTTTTGTCTTTTTGAGTTAGAGGCTTCCTATGCAGTTCAGGCTGACCTTGAGCTCACTTTGTAGCCCAGGCTGATCTCAAATGTGCAACAGCCCTTCTGCCTCGGTGAGTGCTAGGATTGTAGGCATGTGTCACCATGCCCAGCTGACACTTCCATTCTATCTCACTACCACAAGTAGACCTTGGAGAGGACAGTCTTGGTGGCATCATTAGTATTATAAGATGCAGACAGTCTCCAGGATGTTCTTTCATCCTGCCGAACGCTTGAACAATGGAACAAGTGGAAGCTGGACTAGAAATAGCCAGAGCCAGAGTATCTAACATGGAAGGTGATTTCACCAGAAACAAGACTGGAGAGGTGCAGACATAGAGGTTGCAGGGTTCCTAAGAGCAGCGGCTTGGGCAGCAGGCAATAAAATGGGGCAGGTTTGTGCTCATGCCACAGCTTATAGTACCACTGTTGTAAGATTATTGAGCAATGGGGAAGTACTGTACTATGTTGAAGCTGGGAGTCTTATTTTAAAACCCTTCAAAGAGAAAGTCCTGAACGTGGGATAAAAATTCTGTTAAATGTTTAAATCAAGGGAGTACTGTGAAATGTGTAAATCAATGAGGAATGCAGTTATGAAGGAGAGCAAACTATTCGGCAATGAGAGACTGTTCAGAGGGAAGAAAAATAAATAGAACATCTAGAAAATAAAAATATTGACATAAAGAAGAGGTTAAGTAATAAATTAGAAAGAGAAAAAATACGAACCAAAAGAATAATCCACTTAGCTATATCTCAGTTAGACTGTAAAGTATCTAAAGTATCTTGAAAGCAGCCATAGAGAAGTGGGCAGATCATTAAAGGCACTCTCAACAGCAAAACAACCTGGAAAATACAAGAGGCCACAAACACTTTGTTAACGTAGAACTGTGCTTAGCAAAATACTCAGGCACAAGCAAAATACAAACCTCTTGTAGGTAAATAAAAACAGAACTTTTTTTTACGATGAGCCTTGCTCTAAAATAGTGATTTTCAAAGGAGTACTTTATTTAGAAATATTTGGGGACTGGTGACCTTTTTTTTCTTTCTTCTCTATCTTTCATCCTAGCAGTTGAATCCAGGACCAGTGTACCACAGAGCTACAACCCTAGTGCTTTTTATTTTATTTATTTTTATTGAAGGCAGTGTCTCACTAAGTTGATCACAGCTGGCTTTGAACTAGAGTTCTTTGCCTGAGTCTCCCAAATAGTGGGGATGCTTGCAGTCTTTCTGCCTCAACTTCCCAATTATAGATCAGTGCCATCACATGTAGCTGGAGACCTTTTTGATTGTCAATACTAGAGTTGTCACAGTCATCTAATGAGTGTAGGCCAAAATGTTTCTCAATACTAAGTAGTTACATAGTTCAGATTTCATAGTACCAACTTCAAAAGACCTTCTAAAGGAATTTGAAAAACTATCTTAGAAAAAAGAAAAGAATCCAAAAAAAAAAATCCCAGTTATCTAAAATACAACAGAGTATTGAACAAATGAAATGGTGAATGTGTACCTTAACCCAGACTGTGATTGCCTCCATGTGACAGTCAAGTTGAATTGTCAGTTTGATTGACTTGAAAGCAGCCTACTGGCACGGATTAGTGAAGCACACCTCTGGATTTGTTTGTGTGGGTCAGGGAGGTGCAATCCTGGGTACTGGATTGGGCTTCAGCCCCTTTCTTTCTGGTGCTGCTCCCCTGCTCTGCCTCTTAGCCCCCGTGAATTAAGCAGCTTTGTTCATCGTACCTTTCTGCCATTGCTGCTGTGGAAACTGCCCATCATAGACTGGATCTTCTCAACCTCAGTCAAATTAAACCTGTCCTCCTCTAATTTGTGGGTGTTGGGTAGATATTGCATTCCAGCAATAAAAAGATGACTAATACATTTTATAAAATAACTTTAGCACCTTATTTGTGGTATTACTAACCACTACTGGAAATACTGGACAGCTGTATTAGGTAAATCAGGAGCAGAGTTGGAACAGAAGTATACACATAACCTTTGGCTGCGTAGGAGAATATTAAGCTTTTATTTAGTGTATTTAGCAATTTGCTTTAAGTAAAATTTGTAAAATTAAGGGTAATTATTGAAGGATAGTGTGGAAATTAGAGGGAAAAAAGTTGAATAAGGGAAAAAACAAACAAAAAATTTAACAGAAAGATGGAGACAGCAGCAGAGACAAAGGCAGAGTAAAAATGAATGAGAAAGAGAATGATAAAACCCCATCCAGATATTCAGATTAAAAAAAAAACTTATCAGTTAATCTTAATTCTTAGTTTGACTGCATTAAGACACAAAGAGGTGTTTACATCATGGGGATTGATCTACTGATGCTCAGAGCTGAATGTGCTGTTAGGAGGAGTGGGCACCCACTGGAGACAGGTCACTGGGGACATGCATTGGAGTCTCTGTCTGTCTGTCTGTCTGTCTCTCTCTCTCTCTCTCTCTCTCTCTTTCTCTCTCTCTCTCTCTCTCTGTTTTGAGACTGAGTCTCACTGTATGATTCAGGCTGACCTTGAATTCACAGCAATCCTTCTGCCTCAGCCTCCCGAGTGTTAGGATTACAGTCCTGAGCTATCATGCCCAGCTAAGAGTGTGTATCTCTTGCTAGTGCTTTTCCTGTGTGTTCTGCTTTTGTGCCACCAAGAAGTGAGCACTTTGTTCCACCTTTCCCCTCCAGCATGAGATTTCTGCTTTGGAGCCATTTGACTGTGGACTGAATCCCCAGAAACTATGACCTGGGTTAAACCTCTCCTCCTCCTAAGTTGTGTGTGTTGAGTATTTTGTCCCAGTGATGGGAAAGCTGAGCAGTACAGAGAGTTGATACCAGAGAAGTGGGGTCATTATCGTGACTGTACCTGACAGTGTGGTTCAGGTTTTGGCACGGCTACTGCTGGCTGCATTTTGCAAGATGCATAATGAGTCTTGAGGACAAAAAGCAGAACAGAAAACCTTGCTGGATTTCAGTTTTGCTTTGATCCCTTTTCTTTTTTTTTTTTTTCCTATCCCCATTTTCTCCCTTTGCACCAGTAATGTTTACCCTGTGCTGTTGTATCTTGGGATTAAGTGACTTTTTTTTTTTTTTAATTTTACAGAGGTTTGCACTGAAAGACTTTTCTTTGAGTCTCAGGGGCCTTGATTTAATCTTTTGAGAAAGATTGGAATTGTCATGACTTTGGAGAAGCAATTAGTGCATTTTTGTTTGTACAGAGGATACTTAACATGATGTTGGGCGCAATTACAGACTTACTGTCTTTCTTTATAGATTATTGCTTAAGGAGCTATAATGAGTTGTCAGGTAGGAAAGTGGTGAAATTATGCCAGTTAGTTTTAACTGTCACTGTGCTTGGTGGCACATGCTGTAATCCAGGCACTAGAAAGATGGAGGCAGGAGGATTGCTGCAAGGCCAAGCTGGGCTACAAAGTGACTTCAAGGCCAGCTTCAACTGCATAGCGAAACCTTGGCTCAAAAATACAAAAGCAAAAGCAATAAAGTTATCAAGAAACTTAAAGAATTTTGTCAACTCAACTGGATTGAGAGTCTGTAGAGAGGTGGTTGGATCCTGGGATGCTGGAGCTGACTGCTGAGGGGGGTGGGCCCCAGCTGGAGCAGGTGGATTACTGAAGGCATGGTGCTCTTCTGGGCTGTGCTTCTCTGAAAGCTTGGTTGCTTCAAAGGACAGTTTATTGTGATGCTTATGTGGGTTTCATAGGCTTGGTCAGTGTTCTTTGTTTTTGTTTCTCCCCACCCTCCATGGCAGCTGAGGTTCTTTACATAGTTTCCATTAGTGTTCACTCCAAGCATTGCTCAGAATATTCACTAGGAGTTCAGGAGGGGCTTAGCATAATACTAAGGGGTCCTCTATCACTGAGCTACATCCCACTCCTATCCATCTGTCTGTCAGTATTTTGAGAATGTCTTGCTGAGTTGCCAAGGCTGGTATCAATCTTCTGATGCTTCTGCTTCAGCCTCCTGAGTGCTGGATAACAGGCATGTGCCACCACACCCAATGGGGTATTTCTTGAATCTGCATTTCAATCTCATCATGTTACTTTTTAGTATTTATATTGTATCAATGTTGGCCCCTGAAAACTACCTCAGATTGGTTTTGTGTCCTTTGACATGGCCCAGTCATTCTGATAACTTGCTGGCTTTTTCCAAATTCATTTTATATATTTAAGGATAATAGGGTTTTTATTTTATTTTTTTGGTACTGGGGATCGAACTCACAACCTTGCACTTGCCAGGCAGGAACTTATGCCACTGAGCCATATCCCCAGCTGGATGTAGGATTTTTAATGTTTTAAAATTTTATATTGTTATGTATTTCTCCAATATTGAAAATCTTAGTAGCTTTCATTTTTGTTTTGGTGGTATTGGGAATTGAACCTAAGGTATGCTACCTCAACAATATCCACAGCTATTCCTATTTTAGGGTAGGGTCTTAGTTACCTCCCCATGCTGGCCTCAAACTTGTGATCCTCCTGCCTCAGCTGGGAATGCAAGGGTGAATGACCACATCAACTGAAAATCTTAAATTTTAGTAAGATTTATGTAATTTTTAACTTTTCTTTAATGCCAGACTGTATAATTATATTATTGTTACATAATACAAAACCAAAGTTATGAAAGTACAAACATTGCTGTGCTAGAGACTCGGGTTTTTCCTTATACGTCATTCACTATATTCTTAGCAGGTGCCTCTTTTTAAACGACTTTTATTACCATGTCTGTAGTACATTATGATTGCATGTGTCCTAGGTGTTTGATACGGAATAATATATCTTACTCTTTTTACTTTCCCTCGCCTCCCCTCCACCATCAAGTGCCTCTTTTAATAACAACAAAAAGAGTGCATTCAAAGCTAATACTCAGTTAAGTGACCCGATATCATTGATAAAAGGTAGAGAAAGTTTTCTCCTGTTAGCAGCAGCAGTGTGTAAAGCAGCCCATGTCTATATCCTGAATTGGTATTTCATAAGTCCTCTGTGAGTTTTTCTACCCTGGATTTGGGTAACTGTAAGTAAGAAAAGGGCCTTGAAGGGCTAGAAGAATAGTGCCTCCAAAGGTCTTGGAATTAAGAAAAAGAATCACCTGTGTTTATTTCTTAGCAATCTGTGCTTCTGCTAAAAAGGGAGCCACATTCTGCAAGCAGTGTTGATTGAGTTTTAGGTTGAATTTAGATTAATAAAGGGGCGATGTATAGTTATTAGGTGCTGTTTATTCAATACCAATGAGAAACTAACTTGGTTTACTGTTTTCCAGATGATGGACGTAAGAAAGCTCGAAATGCTTATCTCAGTAATTCCAATTATGAAGAAGGAGATGAATATTTTGACAAAAATTTGGCACTCTTCGAGGTAATATTTCAGAGAAAACTGTGAAGATTTAGGAACATAAATTTCAAGATAGCTATTGCCTATTTGATTTTAAAATGTTCAAGCTGGATAATTAATGTTAAAATAAAATACACTTTTGTAACTTGTTACAGTTAATTTTGTCCACATGATGTAATTACAGTGAATGTCTATTAAATGTTATGAAGTAAGAGAGAAGAGTGTTGATTTCTCAGGCACATGGAAAACCTTGCAGCCTGATTTAGATAATTTCAATATAAAACAGCTCTATGTTTAGGAATACTTAACATTTAACTTAGAATGATCTAAACAAAGGCGAGCATGGCGGTGATGCTTGTAACCTCAGCACTTGCGATGCTTGTAACCACAGGAAGCTGAGGTAAGAGGATTGCCATGAGTTTGAGGCCAGCCTGGGTGCAAAGTGAGTTCAAGGCCATCCTGAATCATGTAATGAAGCGCTGCCTTGTAAATGGACCCCTCCCCCCATAAAAAAAGAATGATCTAAGCACCACTCTAAGAAGCAGGCTGTCAGGTTAAGAAGATTTGTGTTTTAGCTGGGCATGGTGGCTCACGCCTGTAATCCTAGCAACTCAGGAGGCTGAGGCAGGAGGATCTTTTGCGAGTTTGAGACCAGCCTCGGCTACAAAGTGAGCTCAAGGCCAGCCTGAACTGCATAGCGACACCCTGTCTCAAAAAGACAAAAAAAAAAAAGATTCGTGTTTTTTTTTTTTTTTTTGGTACCGGGCATCAAACTTGCAACCTCACATTTGCCAGGCAAGTGCTTATGCCACTGAACTAAATTCCTAGCCCCTTGTGTCTTTTTTTATTGGTATATGTTTGCGATGCATGATATTTACATTCTTTGGAGGGATTAGCACACATATATATAACATATCTTAATTATTTACTATCCTTCAACCCTTCCCCCTTCCAAAAATATCTTCTTTGTAACAGATAATAATTATGTTTGGAGGTAAATTGTAGTATTTGCATTTATCTAGATCTTGTGGGATGATTAAATTAAGCTACTTTGCATATCTATCACCCCTTATATAAGGTGATACAAACATTGGAATTTTAGTTTCTTAGCAGTTTTGAAATACACAGTATTGGGCTGGGGATATAGCTTAGTGGCTTAAGCGCCTGCCTGGCAAGTGCAATGTCATGAGTTCAATCCCCAGTACCAAAAAAAAAGAAATATACAATATATTAAATGTAGTCACCAGGTTGTATAATAGATGTGAAAAATTTAACCCTCTTAGCTAACTGAAACTTGTACCCTTTGGCTAACATCTCCCTATTCTTCCTTACCTCTTTCCCCCAGCATCTGGTATTTACCATTATACTCTACTTTTGAATTAACATGGGGTTTTGTTTTGTTTTGTTTTGTTTTGTTTTGTTTTGTTTTGTTTTGTTTTGTTTTGTGACAAGGTCTTACTTTATAGTTCAGACTGCCCTTGGACTCTCTACATAGCCCAAATTGGCCTTGAACTCAAGACAGTCCTCTTCCCTCAGCTTTCCAAGTGCTGGGATTACATGTGTGCCCCACCACATCCAGCTGAGTTAAATTTGTTAGATTCATCATATAGGTAAAATTATATGGTATTTATCTCTCTGGATTTATTTCACATGGCATATTGAAGAGGACCTATATGTGTTACCTGACTAAGCATCGGTTGGGGCTATGGCCAGACTGTTGACATAGAATGATTTATTCAACACTATAGTGCAAATTCTGTGTCTTGCAATGTGCTTTGTTTAAAAAAAATTCTTTTTCTCTCAGTCTTCAAGGTCTAAGGTGAATATTTGTTTCAGTCACAAATGTCTTCCGTCAACCTATCATGTTTGGTGCTGTAATTACTACACAGCTGAGAGTTAGCTCAGTGATGAAGTGCTTGCCTAGCATGTATAAAGTCCTAGGTTTGATTCCAAACACCTCAAAAACAAACCCTAATGATTGTCATAAATACTAGTAGCCAAAAGAGGGATGTGATATAATTGATCACATTACCAGTGTGAACATTAGGTCATTGATTTTTGTTTTCACTGTAGATATATACTTAGCTACCACAAAGAATAATGAAAATATTCATTAAGAACGTTACAAGGAGGGGTTTGCGAATACAGCTCAGTGGTAGAAAACTTGCCTAGGAAGTATGAGGCCTTGGTTGGATCCTTAGCACAAGAAAGAAAGAAAAAGATAAGGAAGGATGGATTACTATAAGTAGAAAACAGAGTGAAGTTTCCCCCCAAAATGTGAAATAGATCTACCATGTGATCCAGAAGTTCTACCACTTAGTGTATAACCAAAGAAAATGTCAAAATGGTGTCTGAGTTTCCATGTTTATTGCAGCATTGTTCACAGTAGCTAAGATATACAACCTTAGTGTCCAGTAGTGGATAAATAGATAAACATGGTATAGGGCTGGGGATTTAGTATAAGTGCCTGCCTGGCAAGCACATGATCACTCCCCGGTACCAAAAAAAAAGCATGGTCTATGTACACTATGGAATAGTATTCAGCCTTAAAAAGAGAGTGGATGAATTTGGAGAAAATACGTTAAGTGAAATAAGGAAACTTCCACTAATCTCATATGTACAATGAAAGTTGTATTCCTAAAAGCAGAAATACAATGTTAACTATCAGATGCTGCAGATAGGACTTCAGGGGAGATGTTAGTCATGGGGTACAAAGTTTCCATTGGACAAGAAAAATAAGTTTTATAGCTTGTGTCTAGATGCCCCCCCCCCCTCCGCAAAGTTCACGCAGCCAGAGGTGGGGCTTTCGGAGCTGGCTGAATCTAGAGTGTGTGATCAATTCATGGTGCAATGCTAGAATTAAGGGTGTGTGATTACTAAGTCAGTCTGCTGATTAGTTTGGCACTGCTCTCATCCAGTAGCCCAAATACAATATAAAGAACAGAAAGAGACTTGTTTTGTTCCTTGTTGTGTTACCTTCCACTTGCCATGAACTGTTTCTCTGTGATGTCTGTCTGCCATGCCACCCTGCCTTGGAGCCAGCTGATTATAGACTGAAAATTCTACAAACTGTGAGCTAAATAAACCTTTCCTCGTTTAGGTATTTAGTCTCAGCAGCAAGAGAAAAATAAGACAGTATTTTCAGATCTGTTATACAATATGATGGCTGTAGTTAATACTTGAAAATTGCTAAAACAGCAGGTTTTCAGTGGTCTCACCACAAAAGTATTTGTGATAATGGATATATTAACTAGCATGATTTAGTCATTATATGATTATGCATATGTCAAAACATCATGTGCATTGCAAATATATGCAATTTATATATATATATATATATATATATATATTTTTTTTTTTTTTTTTTTTTTTTTTTTTTTTTTTGTCTTTTTCCTTTTTATCGGTACCAGGGATCGAACTCACGACTGCCTGCTTGCAAGGCAGGCGCTTATGCTGCTGAGCTAAATCCCCAGCCCCACAATTTATATATTTGTTTACTTGGTAGAACTAGTGATTGAACTGAGAGCCTTTACACTGAGCTACATCCCCAACCCTTTTTTTAAAATTATTTTTTATTTTGAGACATGGTTAAGTCAACAAGTTGTCCAGGCTGACCTCAAACTCTTGATCATTTGCCTCAGCCTCCCAGAGTACTGCGATAATGTGTATACCACCACATGTAGTTAAACTATGCAAATTTTAATTTCTCCATTAAAAATTTTACAAAGATTCGTGGCACCCCGATAGAAGTGTGACTTCTTTTGTGTGTGTATGTGCACACAGTGCTGGGGAATTGAACCTAGGACAAGCGCTCTACCCCTGAGCTACATTCTCAGCCCTGTGTGATGTTGTTTTTGTTTTTGTTTTTTTGTGCACAATGCTGTGGAATTGATCCCAGGACCTCATTTGTGCTAGGCAAACACTCTACCCCTTTTCCTACATTCCTAACCCTTTTAGTACTTAGTTTTTGTGTGTGTGTGTTGTTTGGGGTTTGTTTTATTTTTGTTTTAGTTTTTATTTTGAGACAGGGTCTCACTGTGGAGGTCAGGCTGGCTTTGAATGTACTGTGTAGTCTAGGTTGGCCTTCAGTTTGTGGAAATCCTCCTGCTGCAGTCTTGAGAGACCTGGGGTTACAGGTGTGTGCCACCATGCCCAGCCTGCGTGATCCTTTAAATGTGATGGAAAATAGTCTTGATAAATTTTCTCATTTACTTTGCAGTTTTCTGGCAGATGTATTTTATTGTTGTTTTCATGCATTATTTATTCAGTATAATGGGTTTTATTTTGACATATTGTGCATACATATAACATACTTTGACCATTTCTACCCCCATAATCCACCTTCCCTTTTTCTCTCCTCCTCCATTCCTTTCTACTTGTCTTGATTTTCATGTCAAGAAAGTTTATTTTAAGGCTTATTTTTATTGTGCTTTTTAATTCATTTCTTCCATATTTCTGGTTTCTAGGAAGAAATGGACACCAGACCAAAGGTGTCTTCTCTCCTCAATCGCATGGCCAATTACACTAACCTGACACAGGGGGCAAAGGAACATGAAGAGGCAGAAAACATCACTGAAGGGAAGAAGAAGCCGACCAAGGTGAGGCCTCAGAATAACAAGGGTCATTCAGTGTCCAGGGACTATGAAAGGCCTGGCACTGTGTACACTGGTGTCACAGCACAAGCAGTACCCTGACTGTCATGTGGGGAGACCGTCCTTAGTTCTAACTAAAAATGTACAACATTAGTCTTTTTAATTTTTGTTTTTTTATATACTGGGAATCAAACCCCTCACTTGCCAGGTGGGTGCTGTACCACTGAGCTGTATCCCTGGCTCACAATATTGTCCTTTTTTTTTTTTTTTTTTTGGTACTGGACATTGGACTCATGACCAATTACTCTGCTGTGCAAAACCCCCGACCTAACATTAAGTCTTGCTAGTCCTTTAACAAATATTTAAGCAAGAGTAAAGAGACCAAGGCCGGCAGGGGAGCCAGGTGGAAGGTTTTGCTACTCCAGACAGGTTGGACAGAGAAAGCCTGCCTAGCAAGGTCGTACTTGAGCAGAGACCTCGGTGGTGTGAGAGAGAAGTCCTGTGGGAGAACAGTATGCCAGCGAGAGGGAATAGCAGGTCAGGAGCTTCCGACAGCCACCTGCACATGCCGTGTGTCTGCTGTAAAGTAAATATTATTTTTTCTTAGAATGAAGATGAGACAGCATGTACATCAGCCTTCTAGTTGTTCAGCTCTTTATTATTTTAATTTTTAAATTAATTAATTAATTAATTTGTTGTTGTTACTGTTTGGTACTGGGGATCGAACTCTGACCTCACACTTGCCAAGCAGTCACTTACTCTGCTGAGCTGAATCCCCTGGCCTATTTTTTTTTTTTTTTTTTTTTTTGAGATATAGAGCCTTGCTGTGCAGTTCAGGCTGATCTTTAACTTATTTTGTAGTCCAGGCTGGCCTTGAACTCATAGCAGTCCTCTTGCCTCAGCCTCCTGAGTGCTGGGATTATAGGCATGTGCCACCACGCCCAGCTATTAATATTTATTTATTTATTTATTTATTTATTGGTATCAATAAATTAAATTATTTATTTATTGAGATAGTGTCTTACTGTGTAGTCCAGGCTAACCTTGAGCTCACTATGTAGCCCAGGATGGCCTTGAACTCATCCTCCCACCTCAGCCTCCCAGGTGCTCAAATTACAGGCATGTGCCACCACATCTGGCCATTATTCTATTTTTAAATGAAAAAGAAACTTTTGTCAACTTTGAAGGATAGAAAATTGTAAAAGTTTGTGGGCACATGCGTATTTATATAAAAAAATGTATAGAAAGTTACGCAAAGGAAAACTGTATACGTCCCTGGTAGACTTTTATAAGACAGATTTATATGCAATTTTGAAGATACTGCTTAAATTTTGACATAATTGGCAATTAGGGTGCAGGTTTTTATAGAAAAGATGAAAAAATCTAAAATGAAAAAGACAGTAAATTGCAAAAAAAGTATTTCATATGAATGAATGTATAATTTTTTCCTCTGCCTGCATCTTTCTTTCTAGACCCCCCAGATGGGTACCTTCATGGGTGTGTACCTTCCATGTCTACAAAATATTTTTGGTGTGATCCTCTTTCTACGCCTTACCTGGGTGGTGGGCACGGCTGGAGTCCTTCAGGCCTTTGCAATTGTCCTTATCTGCTGCTGCTGTGTAAGTTTTGCATTGACTCTTAGAGATCATCTGAAGCATCTGTGTTCCCAGGAGTATATGCATTTGATACCTTTGAGAATAAAAAAAAAAGAATATTTACAATGTCAATGGAAGAGATTATCTAAAGGATTTTCACTTATTTTGTAATTCACTGCGATCTTAAGATTATGTGATGTGTTAGAAATTACAAAGCAAGAGTTCAACTGGAAGTAGAAGATAAAGAATCTACATACTCAGAGCTTGATAGTACCAATATCGTTACAGAAAATGTGTTAGAAAATGTGGTATGTTATTCCAGTATGTATTGGTAAATAGAAACTGACAGTTACTTGAGGAATGAGGCATATTTGAGGTTGATTTAATTTGGTTTTGAAGTCCTCCTCTCTTAGAAATTCAATTTTTCTTTCCAAGTCTTCTCTTCCCTAAATTAGGATGTGTCCTGCCACGTCAATCATTTTTATTATGTCTCCTCTTACTCCTGTCACTATTTTACTCTTCCTGTGCATTATGCTTAGCTGAGTATTATGCAAACCAGCTTAAGCAGGTACAGTCCATACTGTAAGTTAACTGCATTCCTGTTCCATTTTGTTTCCATTCAGTTTCTCAGTCTTGATGCAAGGTCATATTTTTCTTTGTCATGTCTCACATCTAATCAGCTGCCAAGGCAGGGATTTAGCTCAGTGGCCACACAAGCACCTGCCCGGCAAGTGCAACATCAGGAGTTCAATCCCCAGTAACAAAAAAAAGTACAGAACTAATCAGCTACAAAGACCAATCCGTCTGTCTGAAATCTCATGTTCAACTGTTCCTCACTACCACAATTGCAGTTTTTATCCTCCCACTGAACTACTGTAGTGCCCTCCAACCGCCCCTCTGCCTCCAGGTGCTCCCTGTTTGCAGTACATGCTGCCCTGGGCTACTTGGTAAATCCCAGTTCTTCATACCAAAGTTTCTCTGGGTCGCTTTCTAGCTGAATGTTCTTGGTACTGTAGCTAGTCTGTAGTGAGGTTCTAATCTATCTCCAAGTTCTCTCCCTAGTTATTCTTTCTGAGTGTCTTAGGCTTTATTTCCTTTTAGGAGATGCAAAGTGAGATCAGATGTTCTTGGGTAAGTTTAGACTCTAGCAACTAATCTACTGGTTATATCAGGGCCATTTTAACAGTACAGACACTCCTCATTTAACCACCTGCCTGTTTAACAGCTGTTTGGATTTATAGCTAAATGTAGTGTTCAGACTGAACTTGCTACTCAGGCTTATGACCTGCCTTTTTTTGTGCAGTTCTGTATCTCCTCTGTTTGTAGAATTTCCATATCTTTTTTATATAGTACTATAAGTTTTGCTGCTTGTACTGTACAATACTGTAGTTTTATGTTATCACTACCGTACTGCATTTTAGTTATGTAAATAAAAGCAAAGTAAGCAGGTTGGAGTTTCCTTTGACAATCTCACTGTTTGGAATATTGTTATGTATACACTATATACAATTCCTCACTTAGCCAATTCATTTAACAGCCTAGTTGCAGGCTGGAACTTGAAATGAGGAATATATGTATGCTACAGATAATAGTAGTGTCACTAATGCACACACTCCATAAAAGCAGATACAGTTAAATGCTTAAAAAGTGCTCTGAAATCTATAGTAGGGAAGGCAGTACAGAAATGTCAGCATGACCTGACAGCAGTGGTGCTCTTTCTCTTTTTTTCACAGACAATGTTGACTGCTATCTCCATGAGTGCCATTGCCACTAATGGAGTGGTACCAGGTGAGTCGTCCACACTTGGATTTCAGGGATTGTCAGTGATTACTGTATGTTTATGCAGACTTCTAAGGAACAGAATTCATATTTGCTCTGTTGGTGGTGGTTTTGCTTTGCTTTGCTTCGCTTCACTTCGCTTTGTGACACGGTCTTGCTGTATAGTTCAGGCTAGCCACACCTGGCAGTGATCCTCCCACATGAGCCTTCCAAATTCTGAGATTATAGGTGTACATCTTCATGCCTGGCTTGCTGTGTTTTGTACAACAGAGCAACAGTTCACAGTCCTTGGAGACTAATACTGTTTGCCTTTAGAGTACTTTTCTTTTTTCTTTTTTTTTTCTTTTTTTTTTTTTTTTTTTTTGTCTTTTTCCTTTTTATCGGTACCAGGGATTAAACTCACAACTGCTTGCTTCCTAGGCAGGTGCTTAGGCTGCTGAGCTAAATCCCCAGCCCCTAGAGTACTTTTCTGAAAGTCTATTTTTTTTTCTAGACTACAGAGCTTTATTTTTAGTCACACTTCATTCTTTTTTGGTTGGGATATATTTTATTCGGCTGTGTCATGGCCATACTAAATATTTTCATTTCTGGTAAAATGTACTGCTTATTGTAGGGCATTAGATATCCTACAATAAAAGTTTCATGTTTTTCTTCCCACTAATAATTTACTTGTTAACACATTTAGGATTTTCAAAAGCCTGACATGTTTATTCTTTGTGCATATGCTTATTATTCTTACTTATGACTAACTTAGATTCCTGTTACTAACATGTTTTTATCCTGCTCACCCTCCTCTTTGTCTTCTAGCTGGAGGCTCATACTTTATGATTTCCCGGGCTCTGGGTCCAGAGTTTGGTGGAGCTGTTGGTCTCTGCTTTTATCTTGGTACCACATTTGCAGCAGCCATGTACATCCTTGGTGCCATTGAAATTTTTCTGGTAAGTAACAACTGAATTACATTCTGCAATGTAGAAGAGATATGGATTTAGGTTTACTTTGTTCTTTGATATCAAAGCTTTGGAGAGGTCAGCTGTAGGAATCAATGCGGTAATTGCTAACCTGTTACTGGACTCTTAAGTATGAGATAAAAATATTAAGGCATTCTTTGCCTGCCCCTTTCACTTTACCTGACTGTTACCACACTACTACTTCAGCTAAATCACAGTCTTGGGAAGACCTGAGTCTATGGGGTAGAGGGTGGGGTGTAAACCAAACCTTAGTGGGTTTTTTTGGTACTGGGAATCAAACTTAGCCCTTGCATTTGTCAGGCAGGTGCTTATGCTGCTGAGCAAAAACCTTATCCTTTTTGATGTCTTTATCTCAGTGAAATAAAATGTATTTCCATTTCTCTGTTCACTGGCTATACCCTTTATTCTTTAAAGTGATGACAGGAGAAGAAGGGCTGAGATGATTGTTATCATATACAGCTGTTTGAATAAAAACACCTACTCCCTACTCCTTTTTTCCCATTTGGAGCTGCAGTTATTCAGAATAGCAAACAGGAAAAAAATATATGATAACTTGTTTCTATAGGTATTCCAGATCCAAATAGGAATTAGGCTTATTTTTCTGTCATTTTCTGTTTTAGCTTTCATTTTCATTTCCTTCATGAAAGCAGGCACAAACTTTTTATTTGGGTTGGTTTTTTTTTTTTTTTTTTTTTGGTACCGGGGATCGAACTCATGACTTTGCACTTGCCAGGCAGGCACTTGTGCCACTGAGCTAAATCCCCGGCCCTATTTGATGATTTTGAAATGACTTTTTTTTTTTTTTTTTTTTTTTTTTTTTTTGCCTACTAGGTGTACATCGTCCCCCGGGCTGCCATCTTTCACAGTGACGATGCCCTCAAGGAGTCAGCAGCCATGCTGAATAACATGCGTGTCTATGGCACAGCCTTCTTGGTCCTCATGGTATTGGTGGTGTTCATTGGCGTGCGCTACGTGAACAAGTTTGCCTCGCTTTTCCTGGCCTGTGTCATTGTGTCCATCTTGGCAATCTATGCTGGAGCCATCAAGTCTTCTTTTGCACCCCCACACTTCCCGTACGTGACTATGTCTTGGCCTAGTTATTAGGTGGTCACTGATAGTATCTGGGGGTACGATCATTTCAATCACATTTGATGAGCCTGGGATTTGCCTACTGGCCCAGTCAGGGGGTAGGGAACTTCCCAGAAAGCTGTGTCCTGCCGACCCTCTTCCTTATGTTCCAGGCACGGAGCTAGCAGATGTAACCACCTTTCAGGTACAGATTCTGCTTTATCCCCTGATAACGATTGTGCATGTGTGAATTCTTTGTGAAGTACTTCACAAAACAGTGATATCGTATCAGAAATCTTTATAAGGTATTTAAATGTTCAATCCATTTTATTAGTGAAAAGTCTATAGTCACATGAATCCTATACAATAAATGTTTTATTCTAATTTAGAATCTTTGAGTGCTAAGAATTTCTAGTTATGAAGGGAAATGAATATCATATTTATATATTACATTCCATCAGGTAGTATTCCATCAGGTAGTACCTTACAGTGTATCTTTTGAAATAATGGGTTTAAGTTAATTACAGGCTCACCTGATTTCCCTTCATCTAGTGGCATAAAGACCAGCTGGCACTGAGTACTGTTTGTAATCTTATTACAGAAATTGTCTTTTTCATCTGGATCATCTGGAGCTCAAATCTATCAGTCTTATGTTGATTTAATGAGATTACAAAAAAATAGATTTTTTTTTTCTCATGACAAAAGAAACAGCCTTGCTGGGTGTGGTGGCACATACCTGTAATTCTAGTACTTGGGAGGCTGAGGTAAGAGGATCATCGTGAATTTGATACCAGCCTGGCTGGGCTGCCTGTGCTGCATAGTGAGTTCAAGGCCAGCCTGCACTACATAGTGAGATCCTGGAGAGAGAGAGTCGGGGGGAGAGGGAGAGAAGGAGGGTGGGGGAGAGACAGACTAACTCTCAGTGACTTTTAATGACTTACCCTGCTGTTAACTAATGGCAGAGCAGGAACATTAACTCTGATTTCCCAATTGATGTCCAGTATTTCTGTTATGCTATATAGTATCAATAATAGATTCTGTCATAAATGTTTAATTTGCTTCTCTGTAAAATAGCTGAAGATCTGTTCAGGGTCATGAAAGCTCTAAAGGCAACATTTTGGCTGTATCTTAGTTTGGAAAATTCCATGTATTGGAGTCTCCTTTGGGGCTTCGCCTTTTTGTTTTTGGTTGGAGAAGAAGCCTTAATGCACAGTATTTTCTTTTAAAGTATTCAACAAAACATGACAAAAGCTTAGAAAAACACATGAAGCAAAACTGTTGAAAGTCATTGACTCTGAGTAATAGATACATGATTCATTATATGTGTGTGTAATCATGTGAAAGGTTTTAAAAACAGCTTTGTTCAACCTAAGAACAAAGAGGTATTTTAGCTATGAGTATATTCTTTTGTTTGTATTTAAGTCTTTGGATAGAACAGAAAAAAACAGTAAAATAAAAGGATATTTGTATTATTCTTTAATATCTTCATATCCATTGGGTCTAAGCTTAAATTCAAAAACAATTCTGTCTTAGCAGGATGTGTTTAATTCTAGCCAAGTTTTTGTCCTCACAACAGTAGTCAAAAAGCTTACCAGAATATTTCCAAGGGGGTGTTAGGAGTGTAAGGCTTTTCTAAGCCAAAAAAGGGAACTATTTTTGTAAATAAGAATCAGAGGACTCCAGGATTGTTCTAAAAGTTGATTGGTAGCCTAACAGTTTTTGGAAGATGAGTCAGCATAGTGTCCTCTGATAATTCTTGTATTTGAATTCTATCACTGCCATATACCACTAGGATGATCTTGGATAGAATATTATATTTTCCTAAAGTTTAACTCCTCCATCCACAAAATAAATACCCATTCATTGTGAGATTGTTATAAGGATTAAAGTGGCAAAATATGTAAGTCACCACTCACAGTGCCTATAAATAAGTATTAGTTCCTTTTGTACCTCTGACAGTAGAAGCTCTTAGAGATGAGAATGTTTTGGTCCTCTTCTAACCTGTTCCCTTTTTTAAAAATGTGCTTTCTTTTTTTTGCTTAATCTTTCTCCCTCTTTGTTTCCACTTAGGGTCTGCATGCTGGGTAACCGCACTCTTTCATCAAGACACATTGATGTTTGCTCTAAGATCAAGGAAGTTAACAACATGACCGTACCATCAAAGTTATGGGGCTTCTTCTGTAACTCCAGTCAGTTTTTCAATGCCACCTGTGATGAGTACTTTGTTCACAATAATGTCACTTCAATCCAGGGTATTCCCGGCTTGGCCAGTGGTATCATCACTGGTAAGTTGAAGAGCTTAGAGGACATATTTTTACTTCTCTATAAGGAAATAGCCTTCCCTATCTTAGATTGTCCTCTGTCATGAAAATGTATAGCCATGGTACTGCTTCCTTTCTCAAGCTTAGTACATAGCAGAATTATTCAGTGTCTCCTGTTGAGCATTATCTGTTAAAATTTACTCCTTTGAGAACAGAGCAGAACTAGAATAAGATAAAATAGTTCCTGTAGTCTGTCTCCCTCTGCCCTGTCCCCATCTTTCTATTTTGAGACAGGGTCTTCCTTTCTTGCCCAGGCTGGCCTCTTACTTTCTGGGTTCACACGGACTTCCCACTTCGTCCTTCTGAGTAGCTGGTGCTATAATAGGCATGCACTACCATATCCAAATTTGCATGTTCTTTAAAATACTGCCAAGGAGGACTGGGGATGCAGCTCTGTGGCCTAACAGCCTGCCTGGCAAGTGCAAGTGCAAGGTCGTGAATTCAATCCCCAGAACAACAACAACAAAAATTGCCAGTGTTATCTGTGAAATGACAAAGCAGAATTGTTTTACTGTCATCCCATTCACACTTATTTTCCTAGTTCAACTACATTTCTGAAGTTCTTTCCTAAGTGACATTAGCCTTAAACATTTGGTCCACAAATTTCTTTGCGTGTTAAGCAAGTTCACATTAAGGTGTTAAAAATTGACCAGTAAAAAGTAATGGGATTTGAGAGATGTTTTGTCTGACTTTTACTATTTGTATTAGAAAAGTTAACTGTTTTTGTACCAAAACATTTTGTCAGACCATCTCTGAGGAGAGACATTTTCTTTTTATTTATGTGTGTTTTATTGCACAATGTGTGTGTATACATGTCCATGTTGAAGAAGCAAAAAACCCTTGAAAAACTTATTATAAGGGTATGGGAGTGAGACAAAGTGATAGAGTACTTGCCTAGTAGAAGAAGAGTCTGTGTATGATATCAAGCAACACAAAAACATAAGAACTGTGCAAAAAAGCAGTCGTATTTTAAATGTTGTACTTTATTAATACTTGTTTTTCAAGACAGGGTCTTGCTATGTAGTATAGACCACCTTGAACTCACTACATAGCCCTTCCTGACCTTGAACTCACACAGTCCTCCTGCCTCAGCCTCCCCTGTGCTGGAATCACAGGTGTGTGCCCTGCATCTGGCCAGCTAGTGACATTTTTACTATACTACTTTTGACTAGAGTGTTTCCCTCTGCAGAGAACCTTTGGAGTAATTATCTGCCTAAAGGAGAGATTATTGAAAAGCCCTCAGCCAAATCATCGGACGTCCTGGGAAACTTAAATCATGAATATGTGCTTGTTGACATTACCACCTCTTTCACTCTTCTGGTGGGGATATTCTTTCCCTCTGTCACAGGTAAGTGACAGTGCTGATGTCCACTTTAGAAGATCCCCAGCCCAGGGACTTACTTTTTTGAGGAGACAGAATTACACTGTCAGGATTCCTAGATTTACCTTTAACCTTCAGTATTGGTACAAACCTCAAAGTGTCCAGGAACTCAAGAAGTTAACTTTGTTTTCCCCACTCTCTGCAGGTATCATGGCTGGATCAAATAGGTCCGGAGATCTGAAAGATGCTCAGAAGTCTATTCCCATCGGAACGATCCTTGCCATCCTGACCACATCTTTTGTCTGTATCCTTTTCGTGGGTCCAGTCTGAGTCCAAGTTACAGGAACATCCAGTAGAACTAGGGTGACAGTGTTTCAGTAAAGGTTTTTCTCTACCATCTTACTTCTTGCCAGATACTCTGCCCATTTCATGTACAAAATTCAAGTAAGATTTTTATAGGATTAGGGAATTCAGTAATTTACTGATAGGAGAATTATTCTGATTCTTTACTTTCTGTCTTACTTGCTTGGTTACACAAACTTCTCTGCTTCAGAGCCTGCCACATTTCCCTTCAAACTCATGACTGATCTGTCTGATACTGGAGAATGAACAGCAGTTTCCTTGACCTCAGTATGGTAGATTTAAGCAATGTTGTCCTTTTTGGGGCGTGTATTGAAGGGGTTGTTCTCAGAGACAAGTGAGTAAATTCTTTGTGTCATTTTCATGACATATGATCATCCAAAGACAGTTGTGATCTCAAAAACCTGATCTAAGGTATCAATGATTGACTCACAATTAGAAAATATACTGGGATGGGGTGTAGCTCAGTGATGGAGCACTTGATAGCATGTACAAGGCCCTCGGTTTGATACCCAGCAGGATGGGAAAGAAGGGAGGAAGGATAAATACGTATGTGTATAGTTCCCCTTAAGGGTAGTGAATAATAAGGACCAGTATGTTGCTATAAATATGTGAGCCATAGTGAATGTAGCACTTTCAGAAAGAAACCAGTTTGTCTGAATAATAAGTACTTCCCTGTACATCAAGAACTGTTGGAGAGCTAGACCAAAGGTGAGAGAAAGATACCAATAAGCACAGAGCTTTGAAGTGTTTCGGCATCTTCTCTGTGAGCATAAGTATCTGCATCAAAGGTGAAACATTTTTTATTTCCCTCATGAAAGCTGCCAAGTGTGTGTTTTCTTTTTTTCCTGTATGTTTTCAAAGATATTTATAGTCAAATCTAATCTTCTTTCTTTTTTCTTTTTTTGATACTGGGAATCGAACTCATGACCTTGTGCTTGCCAGGCAGGTGCTGTGCCATTGAGCTATATCCCTGGCCTCTCAAATCTTTTCTTGAAACCTGTTACTGCTTACTTTTTATCCATCTTGGTTAATAACCACCATTCATGTCTTTCTAAAAGGTGTCATCAATAGACTTAATTAATTCCTCCATTTCATTAGTGTCTAAGCCTTGTAAATTTCACCTTTCTTTTTTCTGGAACCAGGAATGGAACTCAATGACTTCTTGCTTGCCAGGCAGGCGCTGTGCTGCTAAGCTGTATCCGCAGCCCAAATTCCACATTTCAACCTAAATGCATTTCATTATTTCCTGTGTTCTGCATCCCCATAACTTTGTCCTGGCTCTCAAGATTTTCTGCATACACTGCTGCAGTAATGTTCCTTTTGGTTTTACTACCTTTTAATCCTTCCACACTGCTACCAGAATGACTTTCCTAAAGTGTAAAGCTTGGTTACACAAACTTCTCTGCTTCAGAGTCTGCCACATTTCCCTTCAAACTCCTGACTGATCTGTCCCTGTCTATGTCACTCTACTGTTACAGCCCACTATTCCCTTAGAAATTCCTGATGTTCCAGCCATAGCCTAGAGTTTAATGTGCCTTGTTTCAGATTACTGTCCATCGCACATTTGTCTGTGCTGTTTCCTTTGCTTAGAATGGGTTACCTCCACCTAGCCAGGTCACATTCGTCCCCCAGAGGAGGCTAAGTGTCTTTTCCTCTAAAGTCTTCCTGTGCTCACCTAGAAGGAGGTAATCACTTCTCTCCTGTGCACCCACTATTATCAACACACTGTGTGCTGTCTTGACCATGTTATATATAGTTGCTCCTTATCATTTCATTTTTCCCTGCTAGACTGAGCACTATGAGAACCAGAAACCTAATAATACATGCTATATAAATGCTATTGAGGAAAAAAAAAGAAAAGCCAAAAAAATACTACTGAAAAAATAAAATTACACAATACACATGTGTGTGTATAAGTATCACTATCTGTCTATATGGTATATTACTGTACTATTGTAATGAAACAGACAGAGATTTGTTAAATTATATCTTTTTTTTCTTTTTTTTTTTTTTTTTTTTTTTGGTATGGGGAGTGAACTCACAACCTTGTGCTTGCCAGGCAGACACTTGTGCTGCTGAGCTAAATCTCTGACCCTAAATTATATGTTAATATAAAAATATAATGTAAATTTGAATGCCTCTTGAGAACACTGTTTTTGTCATTATCTCTTAAGGTTGAATACACATGTATATATGACCTAGCAATTCTATTTCCAGGTATATCCAATAGAAATATTTGTACACATGCATTAAGAATCTTGCACAAGGATTTGCACGGTAGTAGTACTTTTAAATGGCCAAGATCTGGAAATAATCTATCCATTAGTAGAATGAACACATTATGTATTCATGCAATGAAAATACACAGCAGTAAAAATAACCATAGTGATAAAAGAAAAAGAATTTTACAGTGCTAAGTAAAAGAAAGCAAACACAAGATGTTTATATTGTGTTTCATTTATAGAAAGTTTTAAAATAGGGAAAGCAATATAGTGGATAGTGGAGAGGAAGAAAGGGTAATAGTGGGTAGTGGACTGCCTGGGAGTTGCCAGAAGAGAATTTTATAATATAATGGTAATGTTCTGCTAGTTGATGTGCATGGTAGTTATACGGGTATTTGCTTTGTGGAAATCTGTTGATATGTACCTTAGTTTTTTGCACATTACTTTTTAAAACATACTTTAAAAAGTATTAGGCAGGCATGGTGGCACATAGCTGTAATCCCAGCACTCAGGAGGCTGAGGCAGGAGGATCCTTGCAAGTACAAGATTAGCCTGGGCTATAAAGTGAGCTCAAGGCCAGCCTAAACTGCATAGAGAGACCCTGCCTCTAAAACAAACAAACAAATTACAGAGCTAATTTAACTCACCTGTTAAATTAGCAGTGACTTAATATTCATATGTGCCGTAAGAGTTGAGTTCTCACATACTTCCCGTGAGAGCTGAATTTAGTATAAACCTTTTTGTTTGGTAGTGATTTGAAAATGTTTTACCATATTGATCCTTTTTTAAAACAGTTATTCCTTCTTTGAAATCTGCCATAAGGGAAAAAAAATCTGATGTCATTGTATATAAAGATGTTCATTACAGGTTGGGCATGATGGTGCAGTTCTGTTGGAGGCCTGGGCAGGAAGATAGAAAGTCCACAGTTTTAGCACCTTCATGATTTAGCAAGACACTATGTCAAGTTTTTCAAAAGGGCTGGCTGAGAACGTAACTTATGGCAGAGGTCCTGACTTCAATCCTTAGTAACACATACTTACATTAGTTACAGTGAAGAATGGGTGATGTAAATTATGGTACTGTGTTACTCAAAGCACTAAATTTTTATTCATGGTTTTTCATAACAGAAAAATGCATATGCTTAAAAAGAATACAGAATTGGGGCTGGGGATTTAGCTCAGCGGCATAAGCACCTGCCTTGTAAGCACGTGGTTGTGAGTTCAATCCCTGGTACCGACAAAAAAAAAAAAAAAAAAAGAATACAAAATTATAAGTGCATTCAATTCATATAGGTTTTTAAAAAACATAGTAAATAGCCAGGTGTGGTGGTGCACTCCTGTAATCCTAGTGCTCAGGAGTCTGAGGCAGGAGGAACTTAGCAAGTTCAAGACCAGCCTGGGCTACAAAGTGAGTCTAAGGGCCAGCATGAACTACATTGCGAGACCCTGTCTCAAAACAGTAAAAAAAAAAAAAACGTAGTAAACAGTAAGATATGGCAAGTGTACCTAATACTAAGATTTGGGGTTTCCCTTTTTCTGTTTTCTATTTTCTGTGCTTTTCTAATTTTTCCCTAAAAGCACATTATTTTTGGTAATCTAAAGAGGGAAAACTATAAGTAAAGCTTAGTTTATTTTCTGGTTCTAGGGTTTTCTTTTCTTAATGGGGGTCACTAATGTGCTGTTTTTTGGTGGTAGTGGGGACAGAACCCATAGCCTTTGCATTGAATTATAGTTTTAACCTTCCCTTACTCTTTAGAGATGAGGTCTCACTAAATCATACAGTTGCCCAGGCTAGGCTAGCCTCCCAGGGTGCTGAAATAACAGGCTTGTGCAACAGTATCTAGCTAATGCCTTTTTATTTCCCTGGTGGTGCTGTAGCCTGGATCCAGGGCCTTCCTTGTGCTTGGCGAGTGCTCTACCACTGAGCTGTGTGCCCAGACTGCTACGGTTGCCTTTTAATCAGAGCAGGCTACCTTTACCTTTCTTAGTATTCATGTCTGTCTCAATGTTAATTCTCTGAAACTTATAAACAGAAAAAAAGTGAGTGAAATGTCTTCTGGTATTTCAGCATAAAAGTGTTTATAGATTCCATTTCCTTGTTTGCTTGTTTCTTTCTTAGGTTTGGGGATGCCGTGAAAGGTAACTTGGTCGTGGGCACCTTGTCCTGGCCATCCCCGTGGGTGATTGTCATTGGCTCCTTCTTTTCAACATGTGGGGCTGGACTTCAGAGCCTCACAGGCGCACCAAGGCTGTTACAGGCTATTGCCAAGGATAACATCATACCATTCCTGAGGGTGAGTGAGATCCTCTTCACACCCAGGCTTCAGGGGCAAAGTGTTGTCATAAATCGTAAATACAGAGATGGTTTTTAATAGAAAACCTAATTCATATACAAATTGTGGTAAGGGTGTCTAAAAGATAATATTTTTGTAGCATTGTTATTTTTCAGATGTGTGAAACTGCAGGTTGAAATAATTAAGAGCACATTTACTCAGTCTGAGCCTGGTATTTTCCCTCCTGTGTGCAGGTTTTCGGTCACAGCAAAGCCAATGGGGAGCCTACCTGGGCTCTACTTCTGACTGCTGCCATCGCAGAGCTGGGAATCCTTATTGCCTCTCTGGATCTCGTGGCCCCGATTCTCTCCATGTAAGAGCCAGTTATTATCAACTACGCTAACTTAAGGGATACGTAACACATGGTTTTCATCAGTCGCATAACAGTAGTGTAATGACAGAGTGAATCAAATGCAGATTTATCTTCACTTAAATGGTAATGAACATTCCAGAGGACTTTCATGTAAGGCTGACTTATCCAAAGGACTTGCATATGCTAGACCAGCACTCTACTGCTGAGCTGCACCTCAGCCTCACCTTCTTTTTTGATTCAACATTCATTGGTGGGTAGCTTGTATTCACTCACCTGAGACTTACTGGTGACACCTTACCTGCCTGACACTATGTGATGTACTGAGAATGCAAAGATGGATAAGGCACAGCCTTAGAACTGGCAATAAGGAATCCTCAGGGGTCTGCACATGGTATGTTGAGGGCCGTGACAGAGGTGAATCCTGGGTGCTGTAGAAGTACTTATAGCGAGGCATCTAAGTAACCTGGGACTCTAGAAGGATTTACTGTAGAAGGTGACATTTGCATCTCGAAGGATGACTAATTGTTTGCTAAGCAAAGAAGGGATAAAGAATACTCTAGGGAGTGTGTGTAAAGCAGTTGAGAAATGAAACAGCGCAGCACATCCCTAGAATTGAAGGCAGCTTGGCCTGGCTGGGTGGAGAGTGCACGCTGGGTGAGTTGGCAGAGGAGGCCAGAGGAGCAGGGCCTGATCACAGAAGGCCTTGCCTTTTACTTGGACAGCACGGGTAATCCTTTGAATACAAAATTCATGTTTATGTTTTAGAATGGCCAAGTTGGTATAAAAGAGATATTAAGAAGGTTAAACTGAGCCGGGAATGCTTTTTGGGAAAAAAAAAAAATGAGGGCCTAAATGAGGGTGATAGTAATAGAGATGAAAAGGAAGAAAAGAAGTTTAGAGATTCCCGCCTGCCAAGTACGGGGGTTTGAACCTGGGGCTCTCATTCTGAGCTACGTAAGCCAGCCGCTTCCTCCTTTTTGTTTTTGGTTTGGTTTGATTTTTGGTTTTTTGAGGCACCATGCCTGGCTAGCTGCTTTGTTTTGAGACAGGGACTTACTAAGTTGTACAGGCTGGGCTTGAACTTGGTCTCCTCTGACCTGCCAACTCACCCAGCGTGCACTCTGCACCACAGCCACGCCAAGCACCTTCAAGTGCTTCCAAACATGCTCAGATTACAGGCCTGTGCTACCACACTTTCTTGGTGGTGGTGGTGGTTGCAGTGGTGCTGCTGGGAATTGAATCTAGCACTCACGCATGCTAAGCGAGTGCTCTTGCTGCACCCTCAAACCAGCTTTTTAAATAGGATTCTCATAGGACCTGGTCAGTGAATTTGGAACAAAAATGAGTAAAAAAGAAGAAGCCTGGGTAATCAATTAGTCTTGTAAAACTCATCCACTGTTGGCCTCTCCTCTGAAAAGAATTTGTGAAGCTGATACTTTTTCTTAAATGTTTTATGGAACATTTTACAGAATTCATCAGGGAGACCACTGAGCCTTAAAGTTTCTTTGCAGAGGAGTTCTAATTACAATACAGACTCTCTACTAGAAAAATAATCTGGGTAGTCCTATAAACAGCAGGGTAGGGTGCCATCACCTGAGAGGGTTCGTGAAAGAGGGCTAGGCATCTGGAAGGTGGGCTTCCTTACAGCAGAGGTCTTCAGTATTTAACATAACCCTCAAGGAATCGTTTTACAGTAATCATGTTCTACAGGGTGCTGTGTTTGGTTTTTGATGGTGTGAGAATGTAACTCGGGGCCTCATAGGTGCTAGGCGACTACTCTACCACCAAACTACATCCCGACCCCTGACTCTTTTTCTCTTTTTGTTCTCCAGGTTTTTTCTCATGTGTTACCTGTTTGTGAACTTGGCATGTGCTTTGCAGACATTACTTCGAACACCCAACTGGAGACCCCGATTCCGCTACTACCACTGGTGAGTCCTCCCCTCCTCTCCTCTCCCCTTCCTCCTCTGATTTCGTACCCCTTCTGTCTCTCTTATACTCTTCTCCCACTCAGGGATTTTGACACAATTATTTTTCTAGACCAACTGTTTCGTACTGTTTCAGCTTTGAGTTCTCATCTGAATCTTCATCTGTCATTCCACTTCTAACCTATAATACCCACTAAGAATAAAGATCAAAACTGTGGTATAGGGCTGGGGATTTAGTTCAGCAGCATAAGTGCCTGACTTGTAAGTGTGTGTGAGTTCGATCCCTGGTACCAATAAAAAAAACAATAAATAAATAAATAAAACTCTGTGGTATATTTCCAACCTCCTTCATTTTTTCTTTTTCTTTTTGATGGTAGTGGGACTTGAACCCAGTAATGATCTGTCCCTATACATCTCCGGTTCTTTTTATAATTTTTTATTCTGAGACAAGAGCAGGCCTCAAACTTGCAGTCTTCCTGCCTCGGCCTCTCTCAGTGCTGGTACAACACCATGTCCAGTTTAGCCTGCTTCATTCCTCAGATTGGAACAATGTTTCCTTTGCCTGTTTTCCTGTTTACCTCTTAGCTAAGCAGTAAACTTCATCCCTTTTTTTTTTCTACTGTGACGTTCTCATCAGTTTTCACTGCTATACTCTTATCCCTCAGAGAATTTCATTTAGTAGGTAAAAATGAGAGGTGCGGCTTGGCAGCAGGGGACCCAAGTTAGTATCTCGAGTAACTACTGTCTTTGTAACCTTCAGCAAAGCACACAGCCATGTAAAACTTCATTTTTTTTTCATTTCTAAAAGCAGACTCATAAGTCTGAAGTGCTTAGTAGAGAGCCTGGTGTACAGTAAAAATCTTGGTGAAATGTTAACTGCTGCTGCTGCTGGACAGTTAAGCTGCCCTAGTCCTGCGGAGTCATCCGGATTTTCTGACTACTGTCCCAGCTCCTTCCCGTCTCTTTTCTCTCATGCACTTAGAGCTGCTTAGTTAGTCCTGTATGCATGACCCGCTGGTATCTTCCTCCTGGATGAATTCCCATGATCCTTCGCTGCCCTCGCTTAGCAGTGGTGGGCAGTGATCCCATCTTCACCCCTAGAAATGTATACCTTCGCCTGATGGGAACATCTCTAATCATCTTTCTACCTTTAACTTTATTTAAAAATTCACTGTGAATATTTTTTGTGTTGCTGTTTTGCTTCTGTCACATTTTATTTTTATTAGATTTAATCTTCAGATTAACAGTTCTGCCACTCATGCTTTAAAATTCATCACATAGCTTGGAAGTTCATTCTGTACACAGAAAAATGTCAGTAAATGCAGTTGCCTACCAATTTTTCATTTGATTTAAAAAAAAAAAAAAAACACTTCCTGACACCTACCAAGTTTTTCTTATATAGTACTTTTCTTTTTGGTTGTACTGGGTATTAAACTCAGGATCTTGTGAACTGAACTACATCCCAGCCCTGTGTAGTACTTTGTAAGAAAACTAATGGCAAATTTTTGTCAGTGAGTTCTGTACTTATGCTAATTAAATATTCATAAAATTTGAGGGACTGTTTATATGAAAGAAGCTAAGAGTTTACAGAGTTACTAACATTTCTGACTTACGTTCAATCCTTGCTTTTCCAGGTGATTCTTTTTTTCTTGGTACTGGGGATCGAACTCAGGACCTAACACTTGCTAGGCAGGTGCTTATGCTGCTGAGCTAAATCCCCAGCCCTCTAGGTGGCTCCTAATTAATTATCCTCATAACTACAGGTGACTTTTATGTGGAATCCTTGTTCATTTACACGGGTAGAAAGCATTTCCTATTGCAAAGGGTGCTTTGGGGCCCAATACATATCTGCTGACTGTTGCCAGTCCATGCCAAGACAACTAAGAAGCTGAGAACGAGCATTCACAGATAGTCAGCATTGCCACCGAGGCTGAGGAGATAGCTCAGTGGCTGGGTATTTCCTGTCTAGCATGGGCACGGCCCTGTGTTCACTGCTGAGAACCTTAGGACAGCTAAGAACAAATACAGAGCTGGACATGGTAGCTCATACCTACAATCCCAGCACGTTTAGCACTTTTTTTTTTTTCCCCACATGGACTTTTTTTATATTTTTGTTTTTTTAATTTTCTAGGGCCCTGTCTTTCATGGGAATGAGTATCTGTCTGGCTCTGATGTTCATTTCTTCCTGGTATTATGCCATTGTAGCAATGGTAATAGCTGGCATGATCTACAAGTACATTGAGTACCAGGGGTGAGTGTGGATTTCACCTTGATCACTGCTAAGATTCTCAAGACTAGTTTTTTTATATTCAGTTTAATGAAAATTACATTTAAGACCCAGATAACTTCATTTGTCCATAACTACATTTTGCATCTCTAATTCTCTTAACCATTTTACAAATTTTTCATCACAAGGGGGAACCTGTTAAGAAAGTATCTGTGAATTATGAAAAGTACCTGAAAGGACATATCTAAAAATGATCAGTACTAAACAAAGTATAACAATACAAATATTTTTGCCAATCTCTTCAATCAAGGTATTGTTTCTGACATAAAAATGAAATTAGTCAGTGAGTTCAAGGCCAGCCTGGGCTACATAAGTGAGTTCAAGGCCAGCCTGCACTCCATAGTGAGACCCTATGTCAACTCTCTTTCCCTGCCAAAAAACTAAGACCTTGTAACTTGTACAAATGCAGGATAAGTAACATTCTGATTCAGAAGATTACATTGAATTTTACTTTGTCCCATTATTTTAAAAATAATTTAAATTGGGGTCTTTAATAATTTCCTAATACAAATTGCTATTTTACACTGTTGCTTTCACAGAGATGTACAAGACTGAGTGACCCTTGAAACTTTTATTCTGACGTGTTTATATAGCATAGTCTGTTGGTACATGATGGGGTTCACCTGGCTCTCAGTGGGTTCATGTTAGTAGCAGACATTCTTAGTATACGCTTAAACTTCTACCTTGTATATACTTTTAGTTTCTAAAGTGAACTTTTTTTTAAAATTATGCTTACTGTATTTTAAATCTATCTCTGCTCTTTTCTCCTTTTTCTCCCAGAGCTGAGAAAGAATGGGGTGATGGCATCCGTGGGCTGTCACTCAGTGCAGCCAGGTTTGCTTTGCTTCGGCTGGAGGAAGGACCTCCACACACTAAAAACTGGAGGTAATGAAATTACTCCGTTCCGATCGCTGGTACCGATAAAAACAAAAAAGACCAAAATAAAAAAAAGCTTAGTGATGTTCGGCACAGCATTAATGGAAACCTGTGCTTTGTTGAGTACTGGATAAGGAAGTCGTGCACTCAGGGCCTGTTTTGAACTATCCGAAATCCATACTCTGTTTTCTTCTGAGATTTGCAATTTATATTTCTGACATTTGTTGTTTTTCTGTGAAGACTGATCAATTTGAGCATTCAAAATAACTCAGTACCCTCATGAGGTTGTTCCTGTGGTGTCTTTCTTCTGTCATTATGTTTTACACAGTTCTCCTGAAGCAAAGGATGGAATTACCATTCTTTTTCAGCTGCCCAAAGTGTTTTCTGTCCTCCACCCCAACCTTTTCCTAGGCCTCAGCTGCTCGTATTGCTGAAACTAGATGAAGACTTACATGTCAAGCATCCTCGCCTCCTTACATTTGCGTCCCAGCTGAAAGCCGGAAAGGGTCTCACAATTGTGGGCTCTGTCATCGTGGGGAACTTCTTAGAGAACTACGGTGAAGCTCTAGCTGCTGAGCAGGTAAGAGTCCAGATTTAACTGACTTTATGGAACATGAAGTAGGAAGGCTTCAGTCTTTTAATCCCTTTCCTGTGTGATCTGGGAGGTTTCCCACTCAGTGCTGACTTCTGAATAGTTATATTCTCCCCAATAATAAGATGAGCCAGAGGACAGTTACTCATTCTCTACATTTAAAGTGTCACTGAACTATAAGATTATCAAGGTTACACATTATTTCCAAACAGATACTAAATACTGATCTGACCACTGATAGGAGTCATCTGTAAGTTAGTGTACCCTGAGAACTATGGGGAAGATGCCAAGGAACAAGTGTTTTTCCTCTTTACTAATTTACATGATATCATGAGCAAGATTCCTTTGCTATTTCTGACTAGCTGAACATTAAAGTTCTACTTAAACGAAGTCATTTTACTCTGATAATTATCATGACTGATAGAACTAATCCTTATATTTGGAGAAATTTTTAATTGCATTTCAAAATTTTTATTGCATTTCACTTTGAAATGCTTTGAAACTGTAGAACTAGAATGCTGAGGAAAAATGAGTCTGGAATTATGGTATAAATTAATAAAAAGAGTGCAAGATGGCAAAGCAAGGTTCTTATCCTGACTATACCACTGCCCTAATCTGTGCCGGGGGAGAATCAGGTACATTTTCCACATCATTATTCTGTTCCCCTTTTTACCAAGAGGGCTGAGTAAATGAGATATAATCTGACTAAGTAATAGGAATCAAATACAAGCACATTTAAATTTTTTAAAAGGATTCAAGAATGGAAGAAGCACAAAGGAAACCTCTCAAATGCTAATATGGACCAGATTCACCCTACTGAGTTTTCTGGAAAATAAGTCAGCACATGGCCAAGGTGCAGGAGGGAAAGAGGTGGTGTTTACACCACTAAACACCACTTGTCAGTGAAGAAACTAGGCTAGCTATTCTCTCTGTGGAGACTCCTGTTCTTAGTTTTTAGGTATGTCACAAAGGGAGAAAAATGGAGTAGAAACACAAAGAAACTGCATGTAGACAACTATCTACAGATGTAAAAATATACAGTAAGCACTTAGTGAAAAAGACAAGTTGGGTATGGTAGCACATGCCTGTAGTACCAGCACTTGGGAGGCTGAGACAGGAAGATCACAAATTTGAGGCCAGCTCTGGCTAGTGAGACCTTGTCTTAAGAAAGAACAATGAGAAAGACAAATGAGGATGACATTTCATTGGAACTGTTTTAATCTTTTGAATTTTAGAAAATTGAGTCTTACTGAGAGTTTAAGAGAGATAGGGAAGTGGAACATGGTGGTACGCAGCACGCGGGAGGCTGAGGCAAGAGAATCATGAGTTCAATACCAGCCTGGGCTACAAAGTAAGCCCAAGGACTCAAGGCCAGCCTGAACTGCATAGTGAGACCCTGTCTCAAAAAGGGGGGAGAGAGAGAGAGAGAGAGAGAGAGAGAGAGAGAGAGAGAGAGAGAGTTGGGGATTACAATATGGAAGAGAAATGAGGAGTTACAAGGTCCAGGGCAAAGCAATTCATTGTTGAGGTTCTCTGTTTCTTTCAGACCATTAAGCACCTAATGGAAGCAGAGAAGGTAAAAGGGTTCAGCCAGCTGGTGGTTGCTGCCAAGCTTCGAGAGGGCATTTCCCACCTCATCCAGTCCTGTGGCCTCGGGGGCATGAAGCACAACACAGTGGTGATGGGATGGCCTAATGGTTGGCGCCAGAGTGAAGATGCCCGCGCCTGGAAAACTTTCATTGGTATAAACATTTCCCTGACGAACCTGAGAGCCCAGTAGGACCCAGAGTTAAATCCCTGTCATCTAATCACCTCCACCCTCCCACAGTGAGGTGTGCCTCATTGAAAATGACCTTATAAACTACCAGTTGTAATAACCTGGTTTTACTCAGCCTCTCCAGCTTTTTACATGGCTGTTCACAAACTGTTTTTGTCAAGTTTAGGAATTATCTCCTAGGTTTCCATGTTTTCACTGAGGGTTTTTCATATTATAATCATCACAGAAATAGGATTGTTCTTTAGCATCCAAATCTCTGCAATTTACATACCCTCAGAGGTGTAGTCAGAGTGTGTATAGTAATAGCTGTAATTCTCAGCCCACTGCTTGTTAGCTGTCAGATTGTTCTCGACGATTTTTGTGACTGAGGTATAGCTGCTGTGTAGAGAAGACACCTTCCTCAAAGAAACTCGAGTGTTTTCCTTGCTTTCCTGACTTGATGGAAAGTAAACCAGCCTAAAGATTCTTATCCGCCAATCCTGAATCTCTTTTTTTTTTTTTCCTCCCTAGGCACAGTTCGAGTGACAACTGCTGCTCATCTTGCTCTGTTGGTGGCTAAAAATGTCTCCTTCTTTCCCAGCAATGTGGAGCAATTTTCTGAGGGCAACATTGATGTGTGGTGGATTGTCCATGATGGGGGAATGCTCATGCTATTACCATTCCTACTGAAACAGCACAAGGTATTTTAGACAGCTTTTTATTTTTATTTCTTGAAGGTTATATTTAAATTTATTGCGTAAGATGAACACTGAAATAGTAATGTGCCCCAAAACAAAGTCTAGGCCAGAGACAATGCCAGGTTTAGCTCCCAGGCCACTTTTGGTCTTCCTTGGAGTAACATGCTAAAGTCTACATCCAGCGGGCTCAGCAGAACTGAGAGGGCTAATTTCATGACTGCTGTGGCACCAAGCCTCTAGCAACACATTCTTATGGAAGTATGTGAAATGTGCTTATAAATCATGCATCTCTTAAAGCACAAGACCAAAGCACACACCTCTGAATTAAATCCAGCTCTGAGTTGGAATGATCTGAGGGACTTAATCCTCTGGAGAGTACTTGAAGCACTCAAGTTTGAATGCACAGCTTTACCATGTTCCACTATGAGCTTTAATTAAAAAACAAAAAACAAAAAAACATGGACCAAGAAGCAGTTTTCTGGATGAGGCTTTACTGAGAGTATACAATGAATGGAACAACAGCATAAAACATAAGTAAGGCAACACGAGAGGCTTGTAGTGAAGACTTAACTGTAATTGAAGAGGAGGTAGTTGTGTCAGATTTGTTAAGGGGAAGGAAACTTTCTAACTGCAAGAACGTAATGAACACTAAACCCCATGCTATTAGAAAGAATGGTGGGGCAAATAAAGGAGGTAAGGAGACTTGTGTCAAAGTACTGTATCAGCGTTTAAAACTGAGTTAATTGAATGATAGCAGAACTGTAATTTATAACAGTCTGGTATTTACCCAAAAGTAAATTCAGAACCAACATTGATACAGCATATTTGGGATTTATCAAAAGGACAGGATAGTCACATATGGCCCAGAGGGCTGGGGATTTAGCTCAGCAGCATAAGTGCCTGCTTTACAAGTACGTGGTCATGAGTTCGATCCCTGGTACTGATTAAAAAAAAAAAAAAAAAAAAAAATATATATATATATATATATATATATATATGGCCCAGATTAGGTTATCAGTAACCTTCTTTCTTACTGCTCAGACCCACCCAAGAAATTACCATTTCCTGAAAATATGATTCCTCAAAGACCCTGGTGAATTTAAAAGAGGCCACAGGTATTGGAACATTGAAGGAGAATTCCTGCCTCTTGATCCTCTGGGCATCTTTCAACCTCCTTTTGGGCATCTCAGGCCCAAGCAAAGCTATGTGGCCACGCACACAATAGGTCTAGGATGAGAGCTAGGCTATGTAAGATACAGATATGTAAGATACAGCATGGTTCATACTCTGATTTACAACCCAGTAAGAACTATTTGACATGAACACTTAAGTCAGGATTGAATAAGTATTTATTAAAGATATAAGCAATATTTTAAAATGTATTAGTAAAATGAGACTGAAGAAGCAGAGAAGACTGTTGTATTATCATTGGTTGATTACAGATTGTTCACTTGCATGGTAATGCTCACATTGTACCGTAAAGTAAGACATACATTGCTCTCAAGGAGAAAACATACTAGTAATGTTTCACGTGTTGAGCTTTCTTATTAAAGCCAAACCAAGCCACTTTACAATTTAAGAAAAAAGTTGAGTGGGTATGGTGGTACAGACCTGTAATCCCAGCACTTGGGAGGTAGAGGCAGGAGGACCACTGGTGAGTTAGAGGCCAGCCTGGGCTACATGGTGAGCTCAAGGCCCGCCAGCACTACACAGCAAGACTCTAGATTGTGTCTCAGAGACAGAGAGGAAGAGATAGGATAAGATAGATAGTGAAGAAACACTGTTGGTGCTTGTTATACGACACACTTTTTCATATCTCTTTTAAATTTTTATCTTTTTTTTACTTCATATCTCAGACTACTCTAAGAAGTACTATTTCCTTCTCAAGAAGGAAAACAGATTCTTGAAGTTACTAAAATGACAAAGCCGTGACATATAAGAGGTACAGGCAGCATTAGAATGTAGATCCTACTGAAAGCCCATAAAACTTTTTTTTTAAAAGTTGCGTTATATATAATACCACTTTATTAGAGAATATTTGGGAAACTTGTAGGCAGGGAGGGACAAGTTCATGATCCCGCCTCTCAATGATGGCCAGATCCACATTTTAGGGTACCCTTTTCAGTCTTCCTGTTGTCTATTATTAAAAGCATAACATGTGGCATAATGAAATCATCATATGCAAAATTTATAATGCTTTGCTGACCAGAATTCTATCTTTAAAAGCTATCCATAAGAGCCTTCCATTTGACTGAATTCAGTTTGTTTTTGTTTTTGTTTTTTGTCTTTTTCGGTACTAGGGATCGAACTCACGATTGCCTGCTTGCAAAGGCAGGCGCTTATGCCGCTGAGCTAAATCCCCAGCCCTGACTGAATTCAGTTTGAGGATTCACACTAAAGCCCATTGTTATTAGGACCTCCTAAAATTCTTTTTTTGTTTGGTTTTTTTGGGTACCAGGGGTCGAACTCACAACCTAGCTCTTGCCAGGCAGGCACTTATGCCCCTGAGCTAAATCCCCAGCCCTGGATCTCCTGAAATTCTTGAGGATCCATTGTTCCACTGCTCTCACTACCAAAACAGATGAAATATTGTTTCCAGCCATTCATATATCCCACAATTCTTTAAACTCCTTGAACTGCATTGTGCCAGACACATCTTTATCCAGAGTTGAAACCGTAAAGGGACAAGTCTCAGATTAAAAGCTTTTCATTCTCCAGCAATGCCTGATTATCTTCAAACAGTTCTGTAATTCCTTAGTGTCTTTGTACCCAGCCTCTCCAGCTACCAAACAAAGTATCTACATAGCAGGTCCTGAGGTTGTCCAAGAAAGACAGGGTCTCTGGGGTCCCTCCACAGCCATCTGGGCAGCACCTGCCACAGTGTCCAGATGCACTCTGGGGCAGTCTCTGGACAACTCTTTATAAAGTCCTCCTCCTTCTGTTCTGTCGGTCACTAGACACATAATTCTTCTTTGACTATATACTGTTGGGTTTTAGAGTCTGTTAACTTTTTTTTTTTGGTATCAGGAATTGAACTCAGGACCTTGTGCCTGCTAGACAGATGCTGTGCTGCTGAGCTGTATCCCTGGCCCTAGGTTTTAGAACCTGAGAAGTTGAGATTATTCGGGTTCTCCCATAATCTAGTTTCAAATTTATAAGAAAAAGATTTCTTTGTATTTGATACCAATCCAACTCCAAGTTAGACTGACAACTTAATTAAAAGTACCAAATTAATAAAGTACCATATAAGCCCTTGGGAAACACAGTAACATTAGAAAAATATATAAAACAGCAAAAGCTGTCAAAGGAAGACTGAGGGAATGGGTGTATGTAGATCATACATGTTTATGCTCATTCTTCAGTAAGACTACTTAAAATATAGTATGCATGGTACCACTAATGTACTGTCTGACTAGCAAACAGCTATCTCTGCAGTGGGTAACAGCTGAGTATCTTCTAATTCAGTTTATATACTGTTTTCATGGAGGTAACATAATGGCCAGGTTGAGGGCCCAGTCCCAAAAGACCACTTTCCCTCTTCTGATGTTCCTGCCTCCTGATGTTGCTGACCTGCTGTGATCCAAGGTTTCCATGGCCCCTTCCTTAGGTTGCATTAATTTGCCAGAGTAGATTATAGAACTGAGAAACACTTGCTTATGTTTCCTGATTTGTTATAAAGGATATAGATACAGACATTCATAGAACAGAGCATTGGGGACAGGCACAGTTTGCATGCTCTTTCTGTTGCTCCAGGAAACGTCATATTTAGCTTCCAGAACCCTGGCCGTTAGGGTTTTTATGGAAGCTGTATTCTGAAGGCATGATTAAATATGTTGCCATTGGTGATGTACTTACTCTTCAGTCCCTCTGCCCTCCCCAGAGGTTAGAGGCAGGGCTTAGTCTTTCCGGTGACCAGCCCCCATCCCAAAGCAATGTATGCACATCGTTAGCTGTGGGCGGCTTACCGGCCAAGAAAACATCACTTGAAGGTTCCAAGGATTTCAGGCGTTGAATTCCAGGGAATAGGAATGATGACCAATTATATATTTCTTATCCCACAAGCCGTCTCTTTTTTTGCCAACTTTTTTCTTGTTATAAAATTTGGAACTTCTTAAAACTGTATTTAATGTATTGCTTCATAAACCTTTTGCCTTGATAATGAACTAGGTAGGAAGCTAGGAAAAAATACTCACTAACCACAGGAAGGTTGTTCTAGGCCAAATGCCTTGTGTTTTAGAAAGTAACTTTCTTTTTTGTATCGTTGGGTCTAATTTTCCATATACATGTGGCACTTGTTAGGTGTGGCGAAAATGCAGCATTCGAATCTTCACAGTAGCTCAACTAGAAGACAACAGTATTCAAATGAAGAAGGACCTGGCCACCTTCCTGTATCACTTGCGCATTGAGGCAGAGGTAGAAGTGGTGGAAATGGTGAGAAAGTAGAGTTTGAGACAGATGAGATTGTCATGCTCCCAAATGCCCTGTCTTATAGAATCTTTTCTACTTTGGAAATTGGTTCTGTGAATGTGGATTAATTCCAGAGTTCCAACAAAATCCTAATTTGTTGATCTTGATAAATAGAATATGTAAGTGTTTTTGGTAATGCTTTTTGGTTTTGCTTTATTACACAGCTTTTATATTTAAGCCCAATGCTTACTATTTTAATTCACGCTTGAAATTATACATGATGCATTATGTGTGAAAAAAACTGAACTTTATGTTTCAAGGAAACACATATAATGGTTAGTTTATAAAACAGACTTAAAGCCTTGGCATTTGATCTATAACTCAAAAATAATGTCTTTCAGCTTAAAGACTGAACAAAATAGCCGTAAAAGTTAGGTTTGTGTTATACTTTCCTGATTTTAGTGAGTAGAAAGAAAAATGTGCTTTCTGTGCTTTCTCACCCACGTTGTGTGATGGCAGCATGACAGTGACATATCGGCTTACACTTACGAGCGCACTCTGATGATGGAGCAGAGGTCCCAGATGCTCCGGCACATGCGGCTCTCCAAAACGGAGCGGGACAGAGAGGTGAGACTTTGCTGGACAGATGAACCTAATCCTGCCTCTGTGAAGTCTGTCAGCAAAAAGAATAATGCTGTATTGTTTCTCACAGGATGATAAATTTTTTCCCTTTCACTTTATCAGTTATCCCAATCTAACTTCATTATTGTTTTGAAATAGTTGATGCATGAGAAAGGTAGAAAAACTGTGTTGGATCTTCCTCAGGCCCAGCTGGTAAAAGACCGGAATTCAATGTTACGATTGACCAGCATAGGTTCTGATGAGGATGAAGAGACAGAAACTTACCAAGAGAAGGTACACATGACTTGGACAAAGGACAAGTACATGGCATCCCGGGGGCAAAAAGCCAAATCGATGGAAGGATTCCAGGACCTCCTTAGCATGCGTCCGTAAGTTTTCCCACATTCAGGATTATCACATAACGTAGCATCCTACTTAGTGGCTTACATGGGACTTTACCTGAGCACACAAATGGAGTCTGTCCATTCACCCTGACCCTGCCCGTTCCCAGTGAAACACTACACAAGCTAATTACTTCTCCATATACTTCACGTTCATACTGTTTGCTAATATTGTAAGGAAATTACATTATGTATCATATAGTCAAAGGAAAAAAGCTCTGATTATCAAGTTTTTTAAGATGCACTGTGACTAGTTTTATTTTTTCCTTTACTGCCTCTTTCTTTTCCCCATCCAGGGACCAGTCTAATGTAAGACGGATGCATACAGCCGTGAAGCTTAATGAGGTTATAGTAAACAAGTCTCATGAAGCAAAGCTGGTTTTATTGAATATGCCAGGACCACCCCGAAACCCTGAGGGTGATGAAAACTGTATCTTTTCTGACAGTGGAGCTGCTATTAGGGGAAATCTTTTCCTGTTTCTTATATGAGACAACTAGATAAATTTAAGTCATCATTTGTGCCCTAGTCCTAGTTCCCTTTGAGGAAGAATTTAAAGTCTTAGGCAGTTTTACAAATCTATAAGGCTGATTAATCTCCCTTTGGGATGTTGGAGGTCTGTTATTTTCTTTAAGAAGCCTTTAAAAGGTGTCATTTTTGCACCAACTTCTAATTTTCAGTCACAGTCCTACCAGCTGAATCCTACATCCTTAAAGCTCTACACATTCTATAAAGCTGCTTATGGATGGAGCTGGGGAAGAAGAAATTAAAAAAAAAGTACTTGGGGATTGTTGACACTCAGTCTAGGATGATTTTACTATAGTGACACTGACTGGCCCTAAGTGCGCTAAGAGAACATTTTAGAAAATGAAAACAAAGGATGAGCAGAGAGGCTGACTTACGTATTACTTCGATGTTCTGTTGGCATCTTAACTGCTAAATTACGACTTTTTTATTTTTGTCCGAACAATATATTAGAGTTTTATCACGTCTTAGCAACATTTAAAAAATAACAAATGAATTTTCAGTGTATATGCAGACTAGATCCTAGATTACTTCATTGGGTTACAATGAATCTAAAATTCAGACTTTGCTGAGTGTGTAGTTATTGAGAAGCATGCTGATTTTGCAATTTTGTAATCAGGTAAACTTAGATGATGAGGATGATGCCTCCAGGTTGTAAAGTATATTCTTGTTTCCTTGACAAATTCTGAAGATATGGAGTTCCTAGAAGTGCTCACGGAGGGACTTGAACGAGTTCTCCTTGTCCGTGGTGGTGGCAGTGAAGTGATCACCATTTATTCATAATCTACTTCTAAATGACACTGCTTGGTCTCACCTTTCCCAAATGGCTTTTATCCTCCATTCAAGTGACAGCACTTTCTTACCACTCCCACTCTAGAGGCCTATGTCTTACACCCATCATACTAAACTCAATGAGCTGGCCTCAAATCCTTGTGCAAGAGTACAAATAGATCGTTTCTGCCTCCCATATGATCTGACAGAAGAAGCATATATTCCCTCAACATCAAAAGAGTGATCAAATCTTGAAAGCCATTTCTTTACCACTGGAAGACAAGTTAGAATCTACAAGCTAAGTCAACAGATGGAAACTCTTCAGCATCACTGAAGGCAGTAAACGGGAAAAGGGATGCTAGAAATTCACCTAAAGACAAAACACAAGCACATATCCAGCATTAAAGATCAGTCTGATAATTAAAGCCCAGAAATCGTGGTTCCGTGATACCACAGAGGAAACAGCTAGGTAGACAGCCTCTCCTCACCGGAGAATTCATGGCCAAGTAACATGGAGACCTCTATCCTTGTGACAGTAATGTGTAGCAAGCTGAGATGGAAACCATCTGTAGCTGATTTTCTTTAGTGTCTCTACTGCCCTCTAAGACTTAATTTTAAATAGGGTAACAATGTTTAAAACCTGAAATGTGGCTGCAGGTTCTACTTCTTCAAGATTCCTCCAAAACACCAGGTTTAATATCTATATTGTGTCAGTGTATATTTCAGCTGTTTGTTTCTATCAACTCAAATCCTTTCTGTGGTTGTAACAACACAGGCAGTTTCATCATGGCAATCGTTTGTTAGAAAGTAAAAATTATTTCTTTTAGGTTCTTTTTATATGGCTGGACTAAGGAATTTTCAAGGAGTAGCTGTAAGATTTACTGAAATACAGTCTATTGTACCTTTATGACAAGGGCAAAACATACAAGCTGTTACAGAAGAATAATACAGGTCAGAATGCACATTAACCAAGTCTCCTTTCCTTTTTATGCTGAGTTACGAGGCACAGGTCAAAAAATACAAAACAAACAGGATGACTGGCTAAAGTCATCTTCTGGAGGCTCTGGACTATCTTTTAAAGGGGAAATTCAGCTTTAAACTAAAAGTTACAGAGCCATACTCTTGCCATGGTGCCAAAGTTAGTGAGCTGCTACTCTCCTTTCTCCTAAAAGTAGCATACAAACTGGCATGGGCCCAACTCAAGAAACTTTTCTTCCACCAAGAAACCTACGGCCTCCTCTCCAAAGCCATAGTTAAGGCTTGAGGCATTCACCTAAATGTCCGAAGTTAAGAACATTTCTCCTTTTCTTTTTGATTTTATGACTTAATGTCTGTAGAAACTTGGCTCTAAACTGAGATCACCCAAGCCAATGAGCTTTCGCTGTTTCATGTTTGTTTTTAGAAAGCTCTAAATGTGCCAAGGAAGTACTTCATCAACTTTTTATTTACTGATACACAAAACATTTGACTTACCACGGTGGAGAAATTTCCTGTGAGGCTGAGCAATAATTTCAAGTATGTGAAATTTATATTTTTTTCTAAGATAGGATTTAAGAAACCATCTTCTTGTCTGTATTAATGGCTGCTATTAAGTTTTACTTTATTAATGATAAGTAAGTGCCACTCTGACTACCTAACAGGATATGCAACAAGCTGACTCTTTAAGTATCACATGTAATATTTGAACCACAACACAGAAGAAAACCTTTCAGTGTAGCTTAAGGAAATGAGTCATTTTGATTTCCCACTTTGGTCTTCTTTCACCTCCAGGCCCACTCATGGTAGCAACACAGGATCTTAAGAGACTTTTTTCCTGCTCATTCCTGCAGAAGGCAGAAAGTTTGTTTACAACTCCCACTGTAACACTCCATTGTATAGTTGAGTATGAGAGAAGATCCATACTTTCAAAGTCAGCCTGCCCAGGAATTTCTCAGCCCTTGGCCAAAGTGCTACATATTTCCATATAGGATAAATATGAGCAGAAAACAAGGTTAACTTTAGAAGTACTATTTGTGGTTGGAGGTCTGTAGGAAACCTTTTAAAGGGACAAATGAATTGATGGCTATTATCAGAACCACAGTTCTAGTCCAGAAAATATAAAATCACTGTTACATGGGAAAATGGTTATTAGGCCAGATTTATACTCATGTTTGTCTAAAGCATTTCATGTCTTTTGCTGCTTGTTGTTTGTCTGCAAAGTGTCTTGTCTGTTAATCACTGCAAAATAAAGCAATACTGAAAACTTGAGAGAGAATGCACCTTAGGGGAAGGGGCTTTTTTTTTTTCAAGAGGAAAGATAAAGCTCTTTTCCTCTCTTTTTCAAAGATCTAGCTTTTAAGTCTTACCTATGACTTTACCAAGGCAGATAACACACATTCTCCTGTTGCTAGCCTTCTGCCTTCTGGTCTGTCTTAAAAGCTGGAGTCTGAACTGCAGCATCTGCTCAACCAATGCCAGGTTCCTATTGGCAGGGAAAAGATCATCGCTCTTTTATCTCCTAATGCCTCTGATCCTTGTAGTCCCAAGGATTCCACCAGTCCTCATTCCCCCTACATGTTAAAAATTCCTTATTGTGGGTATTAAATAACAGTTATACTGTAAGCGTATTTATGTGCTCTTTTTTCTGGTTTTTCTTTTCATCATGTATAATTTGAATCAGCATTACTTTCGCACATCTTCAAGTGTCTCCAACAGAATTTTTATATCCAGGTTTGTGTTAATAAAAAAATATTAAGGAAAATAGATTTAAGGGAAATTTGTGAAACTTTTTTAAGCATTGTTCTCAACCATTTAATTTATTGGAAGGAGATGCTGCTACAGTTCTTGATTTAGCGGCAACCGTTCTTTTGTTTACATACAGTTCTGGTTTTATTTGTTCTGCTCTGTACTGGAAACATAAATAAAGTTTTCTACATTATTTTCAGTCAGGGGTTGTGGTATAATTTCTTCAGTTTGTAATGCACGTTGTCCTTCTAGAATCTGTGTGTTTTACCATGAAGAAAGGAGAGTTTTTGGTTTTCAGTGTGAATGCTTATTTTAAAAGTATACTTAGGAGCCACTGGGCTTAAGGAGCAAGTAAATGAAGCCCAAATACTTAGGGGCCCCTCGGATGCTGTGTCCTCCGGTTCACAGAAGCAGTCCTCCACCACTGAACTCCATCCTCTGAAAGAAGCAACAGTGAACAGGTACGTGAGTGGCAAGGAAGTGTTAAAGTAACATCTTGAATCTGTTAGTACTTTAGATTACAGTTCTACTTTGCTTTATCCAGAACAAACATCAAACTTTTAATAGCTTTTGTTGTTAATACTTAATACATTGCTGTAACACAGACTAATCTACCATTCAAATGAATCAGCTATTCACTGCATATCACACTGCCAAAATTTAGCTTTTCTTCTGCCTTACCTCGGGGGGCTCAATGAAGGCTAACCAGTCTGATGCATGTGTAGGCAGGAGTCCCATGGACTGGCACTTGTAAACAGCCAGTGCCAAGCCCATCAGGTTTCCGATGAGATAGACCAAGCCCTGAAGAAACTTCTGGCTTGAACTTTCTAGCATCTTGAAAGCTGTTGGAGTAACAGAAACTGTCAAGACCCAAACAACTTTTTCTCCCCAGTCTGAATCAAGGTAACTATATCAATACAGGTCCAAAGTAAAGCAAATAAGACCACCAAAGGAACAGAAAACCATCATGAGCACTGTTTTCCCTTTGATCCCCACCAGTAATACTACCACTCCTCCCATCTACCCTCTAACCAGTAACTATGCCTCAGAATTTGTCTTAGTTCTTAAAACTTAGGAAAAAGTTATTTCAAGAATACTCACTGGCTGAAATGGCCATCAGTGCCTGAATGGGTCGCCAGGCCATCATACACACCATCATAGTAGGGAAGATGGAGATAGTGTTGCCTGCCATGTACATGATGAAGAGGTTCATGGGAATCTGTTTGAGAGGACCCAAGGCGATATCCCAGCAGCGCTAAAACAAATGCACAGCTTTAAAGTCATCACTATCTTCAGCTCCTTGTCTGTATCACTAATGCTAAAGTCCAATGAAGAGAATTCCCAACACCATGCTTCCACCTAACTCAATCTCGCCACCTCTTCCAGTCACTGTTTAACCATAAGAAGCTTTGTCCTTTACTAAAGATGACAGACTTTCCCTAGAGATTTTCCATGCCATTTTTTTCTTATGATTTTGACTAACGAAAAAGATTTTCCTAGTTTTGTTCTCATACTTCTGCAGCTAACACTGTCCCTTCTACAACTGAAGAAAAAGATAAGTACGCATAGTGAAATGAAGACATAGAAAATCTGAATAATAAAACATTATACCTGATAACTGCAGGCGATACATCCTTTTCAAACACATCAAATAGAAAAAGTGAGCACTTGCTGAGCCATACAGAAAATACCAAGTTTCAAAGAACTCAAAATTATGCAAATCATATTACTTGACTACAATACAATTAAACTAGAAATCAGTAAAAGGTAAGTAAAAAAAATCCCATGTTAACAAATGTTTGAAAATTAACAAATGTGCTCTAACACTTGAATCAAAGGAATTACAAATGGAAAATGACAGCATCACAAAAATACACATTAAAACTGGTAACTGGAAAAATGCCACATTAAAACGTGGGATTGGGGGCTGGGGATTTAGCTCAGTGGCATAAGTGCCTGCCTTAGGCATGAGCCACCACGTCTGTAATCCCAGCACTCGGGAGGCTGAGGCAGGAGGATCATTGTGAGTTCGAGACCAGCCTGGGCTACAAAGTGAGCTCAAGGCCAGCCTGAACTGCATAGTGAGACCCTGTCTCAAAAAAAAGAAAAAAAGCTTTGTGGGATACAGCTGGTACTATAGGAAAATTTATAATCGTACATATTAAGACTACAAATTTATCCTTTTCAAGAAGCTGTTAACAGGATTGAAAAGACAGTAAAAGATTAGAAATTAATAAAGTCAAAGGTGTCATTTCAAAAAATATACTAGCAAGCCTGGTGAAAAAAGACAAATCAAGGAGGCTGGCGTGGTGATACACGTTTGTAACCCCAGCACAGGTGGGAGGCAGAAGCAGGATTGCTGCAAGTTCAACACCATCCTGGACTACAGTGTGATCCTACCCACCCCACCCCCCAGGAAAAAAAAAGGACATCTTTCCAGATCGTGCAGATACTAAAGTAAACATATAAACAACTTTATAGATTTAACATTTTAGAAAATAAATTGCTAGGGGAAAAATAGGAATTATCAAAATGTAAGAAATTACAAACAAAAGCAGTCCTATAACATTAAAGGAATTGAATATACAAAATCCAAATGGCTTCCCTTGGCAAATTCTCAACATTTAAGGTCAAAATAAAGCTAATCTTACAAAAACTCTCCTGGAAAATAGAAACTACAACTCATTATATAGGCCCTCATAAATACCAAAACCTAAGTTTTTTTTTGTTTTTGTGTCTTTTTCCTTTTTATCGGTACCGGGGATCGAAATCGCAACTGCCTGCTTGCAAAGGCAGGTGCTTATGCCGCTGAGCTAAATCCCCATACCCCTTTTTTTCTTATCGGTACCAGAGATTGAACTCACAACTGCGTGCTCGCAAGGCAGGTGCTTAAGCCATTGAGCTAAATCCCCAGCCCAAACCTAAGGGTTTTACGAGAAGTTTATAGTTCAGTCTCACCCATTAAATCTAAAAATTCCAACAAAATACATAATGCAAAGTATAGCTATGTAAAAAACATCAACCACCGCTGTTCAATTTACATGAAAATAAATGGACAGATCTATAAACAGTTCTCAAAAAACTCTTACAACGGTCTTGCCTGCAATCTCAGCACTGTAGGAGCTGAAGCAGAAAGATAGAAAGCTTAAGCCCAGCCTGGGCAATTTAGCAAGACCTTGTTTCAAAATGAAGGAGATGTAGCTCAGTACAAAAGCCCTGGGCTCAATTGCCAATACCAAAAAGGGAGCGGTATGGAAAGGATTGATAGTGGCTCTATCCATTTCATGTTGTGAAAATCACATGCACTCCATGAAACAAATAGCACTATGCAATATTAAGGCTGGCAGAGAATTGAAAAAGTGCCAAGCACCATTGGAGGAACTAAGGATACATCAAAAAAATCCTGATCCTACAGAGTTCACAAGAGAGAGATAGTAGATGAACAATAAATAGTAATATACATTCTATATTCCTATCATGTATGAATGACACAGAATTATATAAAATAGGTAAACACAGAATGCCATAATGTAGGCTTCCCTAAGCCATTTGAGATCCAAAGGAGGTGCACAAGCAAGTCGTGCAGGTATTAAAATAGAGGAAGAGCATTTTGGGAACAAGAACAAATACAAACCGGAGAGAAGATGGGAGCTAAAAGGTTACAGGCACACAGAGCCTCCCTCTCTGTTGGCACACAAGCCAAGTCCCAACAGTATTGCCCTAGCAGTGGAGCAGCGGAAATTTAGGTTTAATTGCAGTGTTGAGCTGCACATGGTGGCACATGCCTCTAATACCAGCACTCAGGAAGCTGAGGCAGGAGCTTTCCTGGAGCTTGAGGCAGCCTAGACTACACAGTGAATTTAAGACCAGCCTGAACTACACAGTGAGACCATCTCAAAAAAAGAAAAATTGCAGAGTTAGCACTTTGCTTTAAATGAGGTTTTGGGTTGCAGTTACGCACGCAGTTTCTAAACAGTTTGAAATCACTAACAGTTCCCAGCTGACAGCAGTTTGCCTCCTGGAAGACATATATTAAGACTGGAAGTATTTTTTGGTTGTCACAACTAGGACATCTGGCATCATAACTGGTATCAAATGGGTAAAGCCCAGGAATACTAAACATACTGCAAGGTACAGTTCCCTTTAACAAATAAACACCCCCAAACGTCAACAGTGTTGAGGTTAAAACATCATGCTTTAGTGAATGCAGATTACTGTACACAACTATAACTCAAAAGAATAAACATTAACAATAAAGCTTTAATGCAAAAATCTCAGTGGAGGATGGTAGCTTGTACCAGGATAATAGGTGAGCAGCTGGAAGTAGTAATAGGATTTGGGCTCTACTTTCAAGGTAAAACCAGTAGAATAACCTGACAGATTAAACATGTGGTGTGAAGGAACTTAAACAGAAAAGATTTTAACTGGAAGGGGTTGCCACCAAGAGATCATCTTCAACCTACTTCCTTATACTTTATGTTACAAATGCCTTTTATTTTTCCAATTTTTAAGTACTTCTTGAGCTGATACATAAACTACTGTCACACTAATCTAAAGCTGTTTAAGCTCCCAGGAAATCAATTTAAACGCTATTTACAGTACCTCTCCCTGGGAGAGGAGGGTGGATCAGGACTGGCCCAAATTCTACGGTAACATCTATACCTCTGTACCTTCTCCACCAGGATCCGGTCTGTCTCTTGAACGCTGGTATCAGGCACTTGTTTGTCCAAGTAACCGACTGGGTACAGTGAGTCTCCCTGGCCACTGCCCCGGTCACTTCGGCCCCTGAATAAAGAACCAAAACAAGATGCAACTTTTCAAACTTTTATATCCCATATTTTCCGTTTTATTAGTCATAGAAATAAAGATCTAAAGATGGACCTACCCAGATTAGATCAAGCTATATCGTTCAGCCAATCCCTTCCCTATTTGGGAGGACTGAAACAAGCATCCTTAGAGAAAAGCAACCTCCATGACACAAGAACGGCTACCTCCCCTGGTGACCACCCAACTTTTTCAGAGACTTGCGCCTGAAGCTCAGGTCCCGTTATTCAGGGGCTGGTCTGGGGTAAAGGCTTTGATGTCGAGCTTCGCCCTGGAACCTTACCTGCTGCCTCCTCCAGGCCCGCTCAGTTCAATGGCCCACTTGAACCGTCGCCCTCGGTTGGCTACCAAACTCCCCTGGGCTGTCATGGTAACAGCTGCTTCTTAAAGCCGTGGAGAGCCTCACGCAGGAAGATACGCTAGTCCCTGGCTTCACCCGGCCACCCACCGGTTTTACACACCGGGTCGCTGCGAGTTGTGTGTCACACGCCGCAAGAGCACTTCCGGCGCAGCATTGCAGACGTCACTATCGTGCCGGAAATTTCCTGTCGGGAGGATTAGGGAGTGAGCGAAGGATTTAGAAAAGCGGTGAGAGAGCTGAAGGCAGGATTTACATTTTCTTTTTCTTTTTTCTTCTTTTTCCGTCTCCGCCGCCGCCGCCGCCTCCTCCTCCTCCTCGTTCTCCACACCCCCCCCCCGTCGTCAAAAGGAGATAAGAGTTCCCCTGGCTCCCCACATTTTAACCTAATTCTGTGTTCTTTGTGTTTTATCTTTGTCACCCCCTCAGTCAGGTACAAGCTAGTAGCTTGATCCCCTATACCTAGTTATTTGATATGGGTGGAATTTGGTGAAGATGTTGAAGATTTCCGCTTCTGCCTCATTCTCTTATTTTACAAGTATTATATGTTCATAGACTTTTTGAATAGGTCAGAAATGGAAAAGTTTTGCCCTATCCAATCCATCCTAAAATGTCTGTCTGTCTGATCATAGGAAGACCCAACATATGGATTATTTTCATGCTTCTTCTTTTCTGCCTTTATCACATTGGCTCTGATGAACCTTGAAGATTCCTTCCAAGCTTCCTTAAGGCCCTGGTGCACAGTCCTCTCTTTCCACTACATTTTGCATTTTAATAGCACTTAACTAATTTGCACTGTTTGTTGACCTAAGTACTTATTTCTACCCTCCATACCATATCCTAAGTGCACCCTCACCCACCCTGTACTGGAGATTGAACCCAGAGCCTTCCTTGAGGTGCAATTTATGATCCTCCTTCAGCCTCCCAGCTTACTGGGATTACAGGCATGTAGCAGCATGCTCAGATCCATACCCTAAATCCTCTAAAGGCAGAAACCATATGTTAACTATCTATGATTTCACAACCTCTTGCCTCAAACATAGAAAGTACAGTAGTCCTTCCTTATCTACCAGTGGATGCCTAAAATGCAGATAATAGTGAAATCTGTACATAGGATTTTTCCTATGCATATATAACTAGGATAAAGTTTAACTTCTAAATTAAGCACATTATGAGACTAACAACTAGTAATAAAATAGGACAATTGTAATACTATATAATAATAAAAAATGTGAGTATAGTCTCAAAATACCTTCTTGAACTTTCTTTCTTTTTGTTTTTTTTTTTTCTTTCTTTTCAGTACTGGGGATTGAACCCAGAACCACCACAGTGAGCTACATCCCCAACTCTCTATGTTTTGAAACCAGGTCTTCCTTCCTTCCCCAGCCTCCCAGAGTCCTGGGATTACAGGACTATCACACCTAGCTCCCTTTATTTCCCCTGTATTTTTGTGATGATATAAAATGACACAGTGCCAGGTTGACAAAATTATGGGAAGTAAATGAGTATGTACTTGTCATACATATCTGTAGTTTGAAGCATGATAACAAAACTAATACAAGTTGTTTTACCCTTTACAATTTCACAGATAGATTTGCTCTCACTGAAGATCATAGCAAGCTTGGCATGCAATGTTTTTTATCTTCTTGAGAGCTTTGGCTTTGAAGTTTTCACTTGAAGCACTTTAGAGCTTCTCTTTGGCATATCAATTTATCAGCATCGTTTTTGCTGCACTATAGGAACTTCAGTAAGTAGAATAAGACTTCTTTGAATACAAACACTGCAGTACCCAGACAATTGACCTGATAACCTCAAGAGCTTTTAAGTGGGTATGCTGGCAGAAGGGATGTACAGGATAAGATATAGCAGAAAAGCATGAGATTTTATCATGCTACTTGGAAGAGCACACAATGTAAAACATAGCAATTGTTTATTTTTAGAATTTGTATGTAATATTTTCAAACAACAGCTAAAACTAGGATAAGTAGAGAAATATTGGCAATGGAACTAAAGAAAGCAAAACAGGAGGAAATGCTACTATATGAACAAATGATTACTAAGTGTGATTAAATAAATTGAAAATGAATATGAAGCCAAAGTATGAGTATACTGTAATTATGTAAAGTACATTATAATTAAGAAATATAAAAATATTAATTTTGGGGGGTGATGGTTTTCATACAAATTGGTCTAATATTCAAAATAATTGAAATAAGTACTTTTTAAAATGTTAAGTTTACAAAATAATTCAAACAGCCAATAATTTTTGAGGGCCTCTGTGTGCCTCTGCCTGGATTAAACATGAATTAGAAAATGATAGGAATATTGAAACTACAAAATAAATACCAAATTTCCCTTTCATTGTGCCTTTGTGCGAATATGATTTTAAACAAAGGAAGAGTGAGAAAACAAGCCACGATTCCACAGCTCCGTTGAGTTGTTTTACTTAGTTTGTGCTAACTGTACGGTTTTTGTGTTTATTTCTGTACCTCTTCTTTCTAGGAGTTGAAGCTTTTTCATACCTTTCTTCTCTGAGTAATTGCATTTGAATTGAAATTTGAACAAAAAAAATTTTGTTCAAACAGCTCGATTAGCAAGAATGAATCCCTTGGGAGAGTAAAAAAGCTTTCCCAGAAATGTCTTAAATGTTTGGTCTATGTCATGTGACAGTCAGTGTCTGCATAAGGATTCTCTTTGGCTGTCTTTCCTAGTCCAACCAGTTTCCCCAGGACACTCTAACAGCTTCTAAGCATCTTGGCCACTTTAATAAAATGGGTTCACCTGGCACATCCTAATTATTTTTAACTATCATAGCCATCTGAAAAATCCCACCTTAAACTACTTTATTTCCAACAAAATTTATTCTGTGTAAGTACTGGAGGGTCTTGAGGAAAAAAATTATTTTCTCCATTTTATGTTTGCATTTTCAAACTACCTTAGTGAAGAAAAAAATTTTTTCTTTGGTAAGATTCTACCTCACCAGTGGCTATTGGGTTACCATATTAGTCTATGTGGATTATAATTTTTTATTTTTCCTAATTTCTGGTTCATGGCTCTGTAATGCCACAAAATGCCTCTGTCAGCAATGATGTGAACTAGCATATGGCACTGGGAGAGGACAGTGGTTTAGTAATACCCTTCTTGTTTAGCAATTACCTTTTCTTGGCTTACGATGGGCAGTTGTGCAATTCACATTTTAACAAGCTTCCTTTATAGTATCTCTCCCTCCAGCCCTTGCTTAGGAAGCTGGGAGAGTTGCCATTCCCACAGATTCCATTAAAGGATGAAAAAGACAGCTCCAGCATGAGTCATAATGATACAGTACTGATGGCCTAACAGGTCTATCCGAGTCATTACTATGGATTCACCCATTCATTCTGGTGATTAATTTCAGTTATCTTGAAAGTAAGCTAATCTGTCCATAAAGCATGTATCTGAATGATCAATCCAGGTACTTTGGACATTTTTTTCCTATGTTCAAATTTTTAAAAGTTTAAATCAGTTTAGATGTAAAGCACTGTCTTTTAACCTCAGACTTTTGAAGAAGGATTGTTCTGAAGTAAATGTCTGAGTTCCCCCAGAACTCATATGTTGAAACCCTAATCTCCTGTGTGATGGAATTTAGTGATGGGGCCTTTGGAATTAATTACACTGGGATGCAGTCATGCATGTGGAGTGCTCATGATAGCACTAGTGCTCTTTTAATAGGAGATATCGAAGAACTCTCTGCCTGTCCCCTACCTCACCCTACCTACCACGTGAAAACACAGCAAGAAAGCATCTCTCAAAGCTCCAAAGAGAGCCTGAATCAGCAAACCAAACTACCAATCCTTCGATCTTGGACTTTCCTCCTCCAGAAATAAGTAAATGCAGAAGTAAATTTCTCTTATTTAAGCCACTCAGTATTTTGCTATGACAGCCCAAGCAGACTCATAAGGGATGAAATGGGAGTCAAAAAGAGTTAAAGGGGGAACAATAGATACTCTAATATGGGAAAGATGGGGCCAGGAAGTTAGCTTAGCAGCATAAGCACCTGCCTGGGAAGCACAAGGTTGTGAGCTCGATCCCCAGTACAAAAAAAAAAAAAAATAGAGAGAGAAAGAAGAAGTCACTACTTACACATGTAGATGAATGTTGAATTGTTGGGCTGGAGATATTGCTCAGGGACACAAGCACTTGCCTGGCAAGCGCAAGGTCCTGAGTTTCATTCCAGTCTCCCCCCCACCCAAAAAGAGTTGGGATTGTTTAAACTGCTTATTGCATAAATAAGTGCATACCAAATACTGCACATTACATTGTTTTTTCACTTAGCCTACTGTGGATGTCTTCTATATCTGTCATATAGATACGATCTCTGTTATTCTTTTTCAAGGCTAAATAGTCTATTCGACATTAGCCCACAACTGATGGGCATTTAGCTTGTACCCATTTTTCACTGTTGTGGAAAGTTGCTGTGAATATCCTTAGGTACGTATCAACAGAGTTCTGTGGGGAAGTCATACAATCAGGGTAACATACCACAAAACTGATGCAGTTTAAGACATTGAGAGGTCCAAAGTAGGCCCTTTGAAATGCAATCAGTCATTTATACGTCCTTGGATTTACTTTAGTAAACTTTTAAGTTTTCAGTTCACCTTCTCCCCAGCTGTTGAAGTATGGCAGAGACCTGCAGATGTATCAGAAATAAACTGCTTTCACAACAGAATCCCCAATAATTCAACACACCTCTACCACTTCCATCCCCACCCCAGAAAAATTCAAATAAAATTGCTGCTACAGCCACCAAGCAGTGCATCAGTATTGCGATAGTGTTTAAAACCAATCATGGATCTTGTAAACCAGGAGCAAGATTCGCTCATTTCCCCTGTTCTTGCCTTATCTGAAACTGCATTACTTCCTTCCACAGACCGCACAGGAAGCTGGGGATTGACTTCGCCAAAATCAGCTGCCTGGCATTTTCCTAAGATGCTGAGGCTGGATAGTGGAGGGACGGACAATGTGTGGTTAGGTCTGCTAAAGCGTTATCCTTTAGTAGACCCAGCATCATCTGAGTTGCGCATCGTGCAAATGGCAAATGCTGCAGTAAATGCAGTGGTTCCCTGAACCTCTGGTCCGAGCGCTCACACCTGTGGTTCCTGTCCGCAACTCTCCCATCTTTCCCTTAGCCACTGTGCACTCTGGTGACATCAGTCCTTTCAGTATCTGACTTAAGCATCACTCTCCTGACCACTGGTCTCTTTTGTCCCCCTCGTTGCCTCTGAACACTGCCACTTGATAATTCTGGGTCTTTACTACCTGCCAGATACCCACACATAATTTCAGTCTTTGTCTGTACCCTCCAAAGCTCTCTTAACGTCACTTAGATCAGATGATCCATGATCATGAGGCTTACTCTCCACTTCCCCGCCTTGTCTGAAACACCAGGTCACATAATCGTGTCCAGCTTGTCAGACCAGCTCCTGATGATCAATCACTAGATGACTTTCTGAATGAGTTCCTGTTCTCAAGGGATCCCAGCACCCTGACACACTGTCCTGGAGTGAATCTGCTTTGGAGAGTGGGCGTAAAGCTAGCAGGCTCATTCAGCTGCCTGTTTGCTCAGGAGGAAAAGAGGAGGCTTAGGCTCCCTTGGCGACTGTTCTGTGTGAAGGTCCCTGGTACACACACTTTGTACATAGGCACTCATTTAGAGATTTTAAATATATGTTAGGGCTACATCTTAAAAATATTTGTATATGTTTATGATACATAAAAAATATTCATCCTGGGCAACTGGCACATATCACACTTTGATCCTTTACACCTCCCCATTTCTCCCTCCTGTCTCTCACAATCCACACATCCCCTTCCTATCTCCACAGCATCTTTCTCCCTCTTTTGTATCGTCTTTCTTTTATTCTGCTCTTGAAATTATTTATACTTTGGATTTCTCTTACAAGAGTAGCCATGTGATATTTAATCCTCTGGCTCTGATTTATTTCACTTAGCATTATGGACTCAAAGTCCATCTGTTTTCCTACAAATGACTCAAATTTATCCTTCATTATGGCTGAGCAGTAATCCATTGTTATATATATATATACCATAAGTGAGGTTGCACTTTTTTAATAAGAAAAATCAAATTTTAGCCAGGCATGGTGGTGTATGCCTGTAATTTTAGCATTTGGGAGGCTGAGACAGGAGGACTGCCATTAACTGCAAGGCCAGCCTGAACTCAAGGCCATCCTAAACTACATAGTGAGATCTTATCTCAAAAAACAATTAAACCTTAAAGTATCAGTGGATTTTTCCTTGCTAAAGTGGTAATATATATATTTTTTCAAAACAAGATGATAGGAATTTAACAATGGTTGTTATATTGCATACTATTATCTTCAGAAGAGTTGTGCAGGTTAATAGATACAGGAATAAAACAAAACAATAAAACACTGGATTTCAAAAACAAGACAGAAGGAAATTTCCCACAGTTGCTACAATGCATATTGTTATCCTCCAAAGAGATGCTCAGACTATCAGCTTTAGGTCTGCAAAGTCAATCAAACAATACAAACATTAAAAAAGTTATTTCTTTTTACTTTAGTTGCTATCATTTCTGCCTCATTTCCTCTGAGTCAGCCTGTTACTTGGCGAGGGTGGTGACAGAGGGGCACTGTTCTTCTTGTCCCCCAGCCTGTGCACCAGCTGGCTCACAGGAAGGTGTAGATTTGGCTTCTTGATTCTCCTCCTGGCCTGCATGGCTTGGTAATAGTTTTATGTATTTCAAAATTAGTAATACAGAGGTAGCTTGCTTTTTTTATGTTAAAGTACCTTTTAAATTATCCTTATTATCTTAAATTATCTTTTGGTACTAGGAATCAAGCTCATGACCTTATGCTTGCCAGGCAGGTACAATGTCACTGAGTTATTTCCCTGGCCTCTTTTATGTTAAATTATGAGATCTGAGAAGCCTGGCTCCACTCATCACACCAGTAGTGAATCTCAGAACCTGAGTCTGGAAAAGAAGCTTTCTGAGATTCTGTGTGCTAACATGCTCCAGAAATGAAAACTTTTGAGGTTCCTTCCTGACCTGCAGGCAACCGGAAGCCATGATTTAGCTGAGAGTCTTCTATGTCGACACACTGGATACCCTAAGTCCTGGGACTCCGTTACTTGCCTTACTATATCACCCATCCTCCTTTGTAATAAGGACCATGGCTTGCTATTTTTACTGTCTTGTTCCGATGAGAGCCCAGCATTGTTTTTCATAATAGTGGGAAATCAATAAAATCCTGTTCCTGACAATGAAGAATAGCTTAAGAGAAAGTGATTTCATTGTATAAACTTTTATTTTCTTTAAAATAACACAGCTACATAATGGAGGTCATACTCGGGAAACAGTCTTTGCTGTACAGCCCTGGGAGCCAGGGCTGCACCCACTTTGCTCACTTCCCCAGCTGGAGCTGCTATGTGACCCCACATGTAGGCAGTGTCTGCTCATGCTTGCTGCAGTTTAAGAAGCTCCCAAAGGCACCGCTCACACAAAATATCCTAAAAATTTCCCCACGGCCCTAAAGTGCTGCCTTAATTTTCACTATTAATTAATTTTTTGGATTAATTAGGGATCCTGTTACTATACTCACCTAATGACAGGTTGGCTCTGATTAGTTTGTCTGGCAGATACTCCATTTGATTGAACTTCCACAGCACTTAAGAAATGCTTTTAATAACTTTATAGCTGTAATGTGTGGGAATGACTTCTTCTGTTTCTTCAAGACATGGTAAACTATTTTCAGCTGTCTCCAACACCTGGAAAAATATCTGCCTGGACTTGGTGGAGGATGGGTCCTCAAACTGTGTCCCTGGTACATAGGGGCTGTCGAAAATACTGTTGAAGTGAAGCAACCACTTAGGCAAGCCCCAGGGAGTTCTGAAAGGACCTAAAAAAAGGGCCACTAATACATAGTCTGTCATCGAGGAAGTTTTTGGTCAAAGACCTTTATCAGGGACCCAGCCAAGAGCCCTACCTGCCTGTGTTAAGGGTACAGCAAGAAGATAGAATAAAAAACAGAGACAAATTACTAATAAGTGACAAGTGACTGGGAAGTCATCTCCAAATAGGCTAAAAGAGTGACACTCCTAGACAGCTACAGTGATGGGCGGGGGTAGTGAAAGATTCAAAGGCGGCAGAAGACTCATAGGTTGATGATTCAATGGGCAGGTATTATCCTGGAATGACAAGAAGGCAGAGATGATCTTGTGTTAAGAAGGATTTGCCCTGGAGTGCTTTTTTCTAAATTTAGTGGAAAGTTTATTTAATTTCTTAATTTTAGTCTTAGTGGGAGGAAGAGGATGGCTCATTCCTAAAGAGTCAAGGGGAATCTCAACTGGGTGATACTGATAATCCCAAGCCTCCATTTTATCCCTTAGGGAAGTATGCAAAATTAGCCATTGTGAATTTGTGATCCACAACAGGTCTTGTTTGATCAACTTCTGCAAACAGGGAGATAAACTTGCTTCTGTTACAGTTTGTTCAACCATAACCAGTGACTTACATAAAAGCTGAGTAGGCTCTGGCTCCCACAAAATGAAGAGAACTGTCTTCAGTAGTTGTATCAGGAACAACGCAATAGTCATCTAATCTCAATACTCTAGTGTTCCCATCCCAAAGAGACTGAATGCAGTTCCTGAGAACAGATCCTGCATCATATGCATTTCTTGTGTTCTTAAAAAGAGTCTAACCTGGGGGGTTGGGGATTTAGCTCAGCGGCATAAGTTCCTGCCTTGCAAGCAGGCAGTCGTGAGTTCGATCCCCGGTACCCATAAAAATGGGGAAAAGACCAAAAAAAAAAAGAGGCTAACCTGGTACACAATAGAAACTAAACAGCTAATGACTGATGACAGCTAATGACTGATGATGCAGTACTTAGCACACGCCACGTGCTCCACTAAGCATTTTATATGTACTACTTCATTTAATACCCACAACTACACCAAGAGGCAGATGTACGATTCCATTTTATAGATGGGGAAATTAGAGCTCACAGGAATTCTTGTGACTTGCCCAACGTCACAGAGTTTCAGAATCCACGCTTTAACGTATTATGCCCAAGTGCATTAAAATGGAGTGAATGAATAGATCTCCTCCAGCACCATATTTTTGCATTAGACTGTTTAGCTGATACACCGTGGCACAGGCTCCTATTTGACAAGATTTTTCCTTCTACATACACAACTCACCCTCACTTCCTTACTGGTGTTACTCGAGGCGCAGCAGTTAACTGCTGGGCGGCCCTTGGCCAGCAGAGGGCTCTGTGACCACACTCTCTCTTCCTCCCCCCGCCTCCGTGCTACGCAACCCGTGAGAGGGAGATGCGGAGCCTGCGTAGGGCGGGGCCTGCAGGACGCCGGGGACGCTATCCCGGCGGGCTGCGCGCGCCGCTGTGTTTGAATGGCTCTGAGTGCAGTCAGGCCCGGGAGCAGAGGGACGCTCTAGGCTGCCGGGTGCGGCTGGTCAGCGCCCGGGCTGGGCTGAGGCGGCGCGGTACAATGAGGCGCCGGTAAGTGACGGCGAGGCGGAACAGGCCCTTGCCTGCCGCTGCTTCGGCGGGCAGGGCTCCCGCGGCCAGGCCGGCGCCGCCCTGGGCCACCTGCAGGCCCCGCGCCGGCCCGTCCCGTTGCCTGCCCGGCCGACTGCGGGCTTCCAGGCTGCGGGCTGCTGGCGGCGGCCCGGGCCGGGTCTGGGGCCCAGCGTCCGGGCGGGGAGGGCGAGGAGGGCGGGGACCGAACCGGCTGTCACTGCGCTCTCCGGCCCGGAGTCGGCGTCTCTGCCCAGGGGACGAGCGCCGGAGATGGGCTGGCAGGGACGGGTTTCCCGAAGGCCGCCGGGCCGGCCCGTCCCGGCTCTTCCTATTTCCCGACGGGTCCTGGGCTCTCTGACAGATGAGCTTTTGTTTCGCCGGACAAAAACTTGACATAACTGCCTAAGAATTGTTTATTGCAACTTAAAAGCCCTCATTGTCCCGAAGGGTTGTCTGTAATACACCTACGCTCTTAAATGAGATATTCGGAGATCACAGAGTTGATTCGTTTCCTTTTTGCTTATAAAGTTGCTTGAAAACAGAGGTGTGTCATTTCCTTTACAAATTTGAAGAAATAAAATGGAAGGCAAATTCTGTAATAATTACCAGGTTAGCGCTTGCAAAAAATCTGAGGACCGAGGCTACCTAATAGCTTAAATTTGTGTAAAAGAATCATCCGACTTTTTTTAAAAGCTAGTTTCAGACTTGAATCAGAATTGGGGCTTTTGCTTCACTATCTACTGGTATAATAATGAGTAATGTTTTGTTTTCTTTTTTATGGTCATAAATTTGGGGTTTTTTTAACTTACAGAAAATTCTCCAAGTTCATATTGCCAATGGTAGGACTGTTGAATCTGAATAGATATGATAATGAGATAATTATTCTTAACTTTATTGTAGTTCCTGTGCAGTATTGTTTTAAGAGCTTTCCTTTTGCAGATAGTGTTGCCCAGAGGAAACGGAGGCATGGGGAAGTGAGGCAAACTTGTACAAGGTTATGCGAGTAATAAGTTGGGAACCCAAGAGGCCGCTCAGTTTTAACTTCTACTTTGTTACCTCTCTTACATGTAGTTCTTAGCTTTCATTTCACCTCTGGAAATATGTGAGTGTGCTTTTGCTTACATATAAATTCATACACCCTTCAATTGAGTTCTTTGCCCATGTTGATTGTACTTGTATTGTGGGGGAAATCTATTGAATATTTTAAGATAAATGAAGTTTATAAGATTCTTTGTGTATGATGTTCATAATTTTAATTCTTTTGTATCATTTCCTGTCACGGTAGGAACAGTCATTAACCTATGTATTTAAAATATATAAGTATGTGATTATACCTTAACGTTTTCTTTTTTAAAATTTGTATCTGGAATGAATATATTTAGCTACAGCTTCAGACGGGAAATGTAGTTCAAAAGCAAAATCATAGGAAATCACCAGTTTATACTTATTGATGGCAGAACTTTTAAACTTTGGTCATTAGTTATGAAAGTTTTGATTGCCTCTATGTCCAGTACAGTACTAGTTAGACCCAATTGGCTCTACAAAAGAAATGTAGGCAAATCTTGGGAAGGTTTAGTTTGGGATATGAGATTAACCACCGAAAATGTATGTGACATTGCATAATTAATACAGTTAATATATGCTGAACTAAGTAATGTTTCTGCAAACAGCCAACAAAAGATTTATGAAGGACATTGAATAGGTAGATGGAGAATTTTAGTGAGAAAGCTGTTAAAAGAGTTGGAATTAAGAATAAAAATAATGTTCCTTGGGAACAGCAAATCTGGCCTGTTTTGAAAGCTCCAGTTGAGTAAGACCATGTGAGGCAAGGCTGAGGAGTGCTGGATAAGATCCATGTGTTAGCTCTGAGTAGAAAGCAAGATATGGTTTTGGAACTTTTAAAACTTTAAGTCAGTGCTTCTCAATTGAGAGCATTAGTCCCCTGAAGGGGACATTTGGCAGTGTCTCACGGGGAGTACAGGGGTGCTCCTGGCAATCTCCTGGGGAAGAGTGAAACCACTGAAATATGTTGGAATGCTTATGATAATTTTTATTTTATGGATGTAAACTGAAATAGACACATATTGAGATGTTAAGAGTTCTGTGTCTGTCATCTTACACTTTCCCTAAAACTCATACTATTCTTTTAAATTTTTTACATTTATTTTTTATGCTAAACTTATTTTCCCAAAAGGTTTAATTGTTTGCCTTTTAAAATAGTAATATTTAGATTTGTTAGTTATGAATCTACATAAGAATGGGAGGGCTAGTGTGATTTTTTTTTTTTAATGTACCCATTGCTACAATTTTACAAACAAGGTGAATGTAACTTACTCTTTTTTCAGGGGAGTACAAATTACCTTTAAAATAATGCTTGACTAGTAACAGAATGTGTCATAACATATACTCATCAATGTTTTATCAATATTAGACTTGATTGCTATTCTTTGACTCCTCCAAGGTTAATTTAATTGCTGTTGTGACAGTATTATAAAGCACAGCCTGAAGGGCCATGGAACCATATTTAGGTCACAAGGACTGCATCCTTATGCAGGAATAGGTTGGTGGTTATATATGATAAGGTTAGATCGCAGCTGTCTTGCTGGCTCTTTCCAGTATATATATTTTCTTCCTCTGTGTTGTGATATAGCAAGAAAGCCAGGTGTGGTTCTTTGATCTTCCCAGTTTCCAAAACTTTAAGGAATAACTTTCTTTGTAAATTACCCAGTAACTAATATTCTGTAATTGCAGTGGAAAATGGGCTAAGATATCGATTATATGAGTTTCATTTGGTGCTTTGTGGAAAATATTTTTAGGAAAGCTTTAAAAAAACCACCTTGAGTCTATTACAAATTTTAAAAATCAGATAGAATAAATTTGACTTTTATTTACCACTTTCAGATATTGTACTAAAAATTTCTTGCTCATCTCGCCAAAGTATTTTCTCACTAACAACTTTGATATCCATGAGCCTAGGAAAAGTTACTATTAAATTTACCGTCTTGTTTTTGAGGCCTGATGAATGTAGAGATAGGCTGAAGAGTGTTCTGAAAGGTCTCCCTAGTTGATTCCCTTTCCTTGTGACCACCTCTTCTCTTCAGTTTTCTGTGCCTGAAATTCATTTTGTCTGAAATAGGACACCTAGAAAACTGCCGCACACGAATGAGTCAGGAGATGTCCACTTAGCAGCCCCTCTTCTGCCTGGTGTGTTAAAGACTCTCTAGACTTTGTCTGACAATGGGAAAATCTCTGTTACTCAAGTCATAGCTTTGAAGCCTGACTCTTCTACCAGTAACTGAGTATGCTTGGGCAGCTGACCTGCATTTTCTTGGGTGAGGTGCTTAATCTCATCTGTAAATTGATTTTGTCTCCAGGGTTCTTTCCAACTCTGAGAACCTGAAATTCTCAAGGAGAGATTGCTGGTGAGGGATATATTGCTCTTTCACATTTAGTGTGAATTAATTGCAGATGCTTTCTTCTAAAGGCATTTATAAAAGCTATTCCAGTGTTGTAGGACTGGGGAAGAAATCAGAATGGAATGTAAATGTACTGGAATAGAATCAGGAGGACAGGGAGGGACTTTGTTTTGTCTAGGGATGTTTCCCCAGTGCCTAAATGGTAATTAACCCATGATACGCATTTAATATTTGCTATGTGAATGGATAAATGGGTTGTTTTTGGGTTAAGACAAGTTTGCTGAAGTAGTGCACAAACACTCTTAAGTACCTGGAAAGAATTGAGAATGTAAGCCATAGTACAACCTAGGCCTGTGTTATAAAAATATTAATCTTGTAGTGAAGTATTCATCGTTCACTTGGTTCCCTTTCAAAACTATTAAGCAATTTCTGCCCTGTCTGCTTGTCCCAATCACAGAGTGCAGTTTTGTCCGTCACCAGATATTAGTGCCTATTTGGCATTTCTTTTTTTTTTTTTTTTTTTTTTTTATCGGTACCAGGGATCAAACTCACGACTGCCTGCTTGCAATGCTTATGCCCCTGAGCTAAATCCCCAGCCCCTTCTGTTTGGTATTTCAATTTGCCTTTTATTCATATATACAGAAATCTATGTTCTGCCCATTCCTTATACTGCTTAATATTGTCATTAACAGTTTATTAGTGTACTTGATTATATGGATTATAATTTGGCCTTTCCTCCATGGAAGATTCATGGCACAATAGTTGAAAACTAGCACTCTTGGCCTTTCTGTTTCAGCCATGCCAGCTTCACAACTGGTATATAAATAATTGCCAAGGGTAGCTTTTCATTGTATGATTCCTGTACATAGCTGCTCATAGTCTATTTTGCCTGCAGATAAAGTTCAGATTCCTGACCCAGTATCAGGGACTTCCACATTTAATCCAGTCTGCTTTTCTGGTCTGTTCCCCAACAGTGACTTGTACTAATAATTATTAATTACTGAATAATTGATGCAGAAAATAAGGAAACAAAAAGTAGTGAGTGAAGGGGATTAAAGAAAAAAACAGCTGTTATATACTTGTACCTACTCCACAAGATGAATGTAAACTTTGTAAACTACAAATCTGTACTAATAAAATTAAAATAAAAAAAAGAACAGTGAGAAAGTATGTTTCCAGTTGAAGAGAGGCTGGTGGACTAATTCTTGAGAAGCATTTGTAGTGTGGCATTCATTATTTGAGTGAATTATCAGTTCACTAAAAAATAGCATTATGGACATGAGTCCTTTAAACTTCGTAAAAACTTTTTTTAACTCCTTGTTAACGAATCTGTGTGGAAACTAAATAATCAGAAGGAAATTAAACGTGTATTTAGTGGCATGCATTTATATTTATTTAAATAACTACCTAATGGGACTAAATCATTTTGTGCTCACAACATTGTTTGAATGGTTTATCAGTCCGGATGGACTACCTTATTTTGCAGTAACAAATAACCCCCAAATCTCAGTGACTAAAAGTAACAAAGATTCATTTCTGCTACCTTCATGTTGCAAAGCAGTT